CAACATGCATGTACAACTTCAGGACAAGACCATCATGCCCGCCTGCATGTACAGGCTGTGCTGGAAAGCGCGCTCCTCGACTACAAGTCTCAGAACCCTAACGCGAGCGATGAGGATGCCATCCATCACATTCTCAAGCACAAGCTGCCGGCAACGTTGCCCAACACGCCTGCATGGCACCGCAGCAACCTCCAAGATTTGTTGTGCATGGTGGACCGCTTTGGCATGCCGTCGTTCTTCCTCACGCTTACAACCGATGAAGTGTCTGCCACACGCTGGCCCGAAGTGCAGTCGCTGGAGCAAAAGCTGCAGGAGTAAGCCGCACGCACTTTAATCTGCATCACTTGGCAAGCATCCTTGCATGGCGCTGACCGCGTCCTGTCCCTGCCCAGCATGGCAGTCAGTCACCCATCACCCAGATATGCACTGCTCTGGCTGTGCTGTGCCATTGTCCATTGCCTGCAGCTTCTGTGCTGGCTTCACATGGCAAGACGCCCCAGCTGAGAACGCATTCATCGCCCACAAGCGCGTGCAGTCCTTCATGACTGACGTGCTGAAGGCAGGCCGGGGGGCAGTCCACACAAATGCAGAGTTCAACGTGCTCCTGGCCGAGGCCCGAAAGTACAGGGACGAGTTCCTGGAGCAGCACCACGTCAAGCCCGCCAGCAGTGAGTCGTGCTGCCTTGCCGCCCATTCCTCGCTTGCACCCGCTGCCGTGCCCCGTGCCCGCTCTCCAAGTGTCCAGCCATGCGGCCACGGCATCCCTTCCTGTCACGCCTCGCCCCTCCATGCCTCCACTTCCCTCCCGACATCCCGCCAACCTCACATCCACCCTCCCTCCCTCCCTGCCCCTGCAGCGTACTTGTACAACATCACGGCGGCAATACACGAAGGCGACATGCCGGACCGTGCGACCGCGACGCATGCGGAGGTCATGCAGCTATGGATCGCGGCTGCCGGCAGCCTGCGAGCTGATACCGCAATAGAGCTTATTTATGACTACGGCATGGACGCGGGCACCGTCCTCAAGACGGACCAGGACTTCGCGCGCTCGGTGCTGACGGCCGCGCAGCAGGCGCGAGCGTCGGGCGCCCTCCTGACCACAACCACGCCAGCCAAGCGAGCCGCAAGCAGCCCCGCCGAGCCAGATTCCAGTGCCTCCCCCCGCACGTGACTGTATACCATCACGTGCGCTCCCACCGGCAGAGTGTATGTCGGCCAGTCCCGGGACCCTCAACGTCGCTTCCAGGCTCATGCCCGCAACCCACCCAGCCGGATGAAGGAGGACGCCAGCCGCTACCAACCCTTCCATGACCACTTCTCGCTCACGCGCCTCATGTCCACCGCCAATCCTGCACTGGCCCAACGGATGGAGGCCTTCTACATCGCGCAGTTCAAGGCTCGGGGGCCAGGCGGCTACAATGTGCTGTGCGGGCCGCCTTCCGCCAGCCCGGCCTTCTACGCGATGAGGCGGCAACGCGCGGGCAGCGCCCACACGCCCACCGCCGTCACAGCCCAAGACAATGATGATGACGCCCCAGACACGCTCGCCTAGCCCACACAGCACCTGGACGCCACGCGCTTGACGGATTGGGTCGCGCGAATTCAGCGTTACGCTTCCCGACCTTGAGCAGTGCTGTTTCATTAGGGCACGATCACCCTTAGGCCTTCATTCCCGGTGCATACTTTTCCGACCTTAACTCGTGTGTGTACGGAATCTGCTGCCCTTACGGACGGCAGCGCTTGGGATGGTCTATTGCGTGAGGTTTGAGGATAGGGGGGGGCTCCTTGCGCTTCTCCGTATGTCCGCTCTTCGAGTGCTCGGGGGCAAGTTGGCCGCGTGCAAAGCACCCATCCTTTCCACTGTTCCGGCATGGCCATCCACGCGCCATAAGGATCTTTACTCTAGGACTTCTCCTTTGTTCCTCCTTCTCGGCACAGAAACGACGGAGGTGTCATGTACGCGCGCTGTACCTGTGCTGCTGTTCTTTTCTTCGGGTTGTAGTTCCTGTGCTTCTGGCAATCTCGCGCCCGCAACGACTGACTGCAAGTACATTGCGCCGTGCGCCAAACGCCGTGTAAGACTCGTGTGCAACCATCACATTCCCTTCTGCTGCTGCGCCTGCCTCTCCATCCTGGCCCCACATCCCGTCCTGGCACATGTCCTTGCGCACCTCACAATCCTCCAACATACAGCCTTTGGAAACGCGGGCAGCTGCTTCACAAGGACCCTCCTCGTTTGATTACAAGCTTCTTGAGCTTGTACGGCCCAGACGAGCCAAGATGCTCATGAGCCGCCGAGCTGGAAAAAATAACTGAAAAGGATAAAAAAAGGCAACAAATCATAGCACTGTACTGTGATCCTCTGTGATCCTCATTAGTCGCCTATGTACTGCAACCTACGTCTCCGTATGCAATCCAAGACATGTGCCAACCCGCGTTGATTCTCGACACCCATCACCGCATTCATAACATCTCCTGGAGCAATGCCTAGGGTCCAGAGCTTAGCGTGGATATCCGCATATTCCGGACACTCTAGTAGCACGTGCCTGTCGATTATTGCAGACCCAACACCACCTTGCGGCCCGTTCCCTACCATGGGGTCGGTTGACAGCCAAAGGCCAAACACACATCCTAAAACGCATCAAAGTGACGTGATGTTTCGGTAAGATGTAGCCTTCACAGTGCTTAGGTTGCCCCATCCATTGCAAATAGCGACACATCTTCACCCCTGGTTGCTTGTCGTCAGAGACAAACATATGTGGGTCAATCGCCAGCCTTTCACTACCCCAGTCGTCATCAAATCAATCTCGGAGTTCCTGCAATAGCTGGTCAATATCTAGGACATGTGACGCAGCAATATCTACCCTAGCCTCAATCCCTTCATCCGCGCCACCCTCAAACCCCATGTCGTACCCTAAAATTTCTAGTATCCTGACAACCTTCGATCCCCAGCCATCGTGACATAAGGAAGAAGCAAAGGCCAAACGAAGCTCTTCCCGAAAACAATGATGATACACCGAGCCTTTAGCTTCTACCAGTCGGTTCCAAAAACGGAAGATTAGGTTCGTCCAGTGTACTTGTAACGGGTACTGCCTCAGTTCCTTGAACAGTAGCCGGTTGGGAGGCACCCCCGCCCCAGCCAACTGCTTCAGGAAGGATTTCTGCAGACCAACCATCTTATCCTCCAGCGCATAATCAAAATAACATGACCGACGTTCTTGACCTCTAGGGAAGCCTCGTTCCAGGACCTGTAGGACCCTCATCGGGCCCCAGACCTGTACCCCGTAAGACAGGATGGATCCAGGATGGATCATACTTGTGCATCGAAGGCTTTGACAGCAACAGCTGGCACAAACAGGCCCTGTCGCCTAAGCTTGGTGACCAATGAGAAGAGCGCCCGTTGTCCAGAGGCATGAAGTTCATCACAACAGGACTCAAAAGGGGTGCCCGGGCCATAATGAAGGCCCAAGTACCGTGTACGACCCTTCCATGGTAAGCTTTTACTCACATGTGCACCTCCGTCCGTGACCGTCATGGGGACAAGCCTGTACTTGCCTAACTTGTACATCGCTTTGCAGGCATGCATGTCGTGGTGAAAAAACAGGACCTCACATTTTCCTGTATTAACTTTCATACTGTTACGTTAAGGCTTATCACAACCAGTCATGGTGGTGTCAAAAGACACCGGATGCGATACACCAGAGAAGATGTAGCCATCCAGTGTACGACCCGCACTAATGTACGACGTCGCAAAAGGAAGGTCTTGAGAATAGCTACGTGAACCCCGTTGAAGAGAAGCATTGAGAGTTATGTAACTGCTCTTGCACGTTACACATACCAAACGCTTCACACCACTCCCTCAACGCGTGCAGCAGTGCCATGAGCCGTCTGTGCGAGATAGCAAAGAGGCTTAGGTCATCAGCGTAGAGTATAAGTGGGATTCGCATACCATCACTCTTGGGACAATCATGCACGGCCATTGCATCAGGCGCAAGACGGTCCTTGGCTTCCACGTAGTCTGCAGAACCTTCCCTGAAAATGCCGTACAATGTGGGGCTCAACGGACATCCCTGCTTGACCCCTTGAAACGAGAAAAAGGAGTCTCCCAGCCCCCAGTTGACATTGACCTTGGGTTCTACCCTCCGGTAACAAGCCTTCAGAGCATCCAGCGTGGCACCCGTCACCCCTCTCTCTTCCAGCCGCATCCATAGAAGATACCTAGGGACCTTGTCAAAGGCCTTTTCAAAATCCACCTGACACACGAAAAGGGGTTTCCCAGTATTCCGCTTAGTGTTGTCGATTAAATGTCGGAGCACAAACAGGTTATGGCACGTGCCTCTTTTGCTACGAAGCCCTCCTTGATAAGGGGAACAAGCTCCCGACGATTCACCCCATGCACTGAGTCGGCACTCAAGCAGAAACGCATACAGTTTTGAAAGCGCTCCGCCAACTGCCAGCCCTCTGTAGTTGCCCAGGTCATCCACGTCGCCCTTCTTGTGGATGGGTGTGAGTGATGATACCTCGAATTGCTTCGGATAATCACCCATCGTGCGGATATGCTCCATGAGCTTCAGCAGGTACGGTGCAAGCACAAATTCCGTCGAGTGTATTTCGCGTAAATTTTTTATTTCGCATAATTCGCGTTGAGCGTATTTCAGAGCCTCAGCCGGCAGCCCATCCACACCTCCCGACTTGTTGTTGTGCAGTGCCTTCATGGCCACGATGACCTCGTCCAGGGTGAAGGGGTTGTTCATTGCAAGAGCCGATGATACCCTGGCGTCCCTTTTTCCGTTACCCCGCTCCCAGCCGCGCCCGCCCCCATACACTGCCTCTTTGATAAAACTGAGGATGATATCCGCTTTGATGTCGCTGGCAGCACCCTTGTCCCCATTGAAGAGCGTGTCGAAATGCCGCCTCCAACTAGCAATATCGTTGATGGGGCAAGCGGTCTTGGACTTTCCATTGATCCGCTTCCTGAGCGCGTGTCGATCTCCACAGCACTCTTTCAAAAACGCCTCATATCGTCTGACCTTGTGCGCTTCCATAGCTTCACGTCACAGTCGCTGATATCGCGTCCATAAGCTAATAAACCTACTTCGCGCGTCGGGATCCTCCATCAATGCATTTGCTCTCATACAAGCCTTGTGCGTGAGCATAGCTGAGCGAGCCGCGGCACACTCTTCTGTCCACCAAGGGGCGTCTGAAACCCTCCTCCCCACACTACCTCCCTGTTTCGTCGAACGACCAGCTTTTCTAACGGCTCTGGACAAGACGTCCAAGATGGCCTCAACCGCTTCAGTACTGGTGGTCCCTTCCATCCCCAAACGTGCCGTGGCCTCTGCAATCCTTCTCACCACCCCTGCATCATCCGTTTCAAAAAGCTGGGCGTAATGCGCTATCCTTCCCATGTCAAATCGGAGTCCCCTCGTCCGTCTAACATCTGAGTGCCTACCAACATCAATTCCAATTCTACCGGGCAGTGGTCGCTTAGAAGCTTACCTGCTCCTGGCCTGAAATCAGCTACTGGGATGCCTAGGACCTGAAGGCTCTTGCAGTGCGTGAACAGTCCGATCGTAGCGAAGTACACATCAATCATGCTTCCCATCTCTTGCACCCTGTGGTGGAAAGTGATCTCACCTTCCCTGTCACCCTCAACCCGTCCATTGAGAACAATCATTTCCATTTCGCGGCACATGTTTGTGAACGCCTTACCAAAAAGGTTCATGCGGGGATCCTGACTCCGCCTGTTTGGTACACCTCGGAACAATTCTGAATTACTGACTTGGTAACCAGTCACCTCTTCCAGATCGTCATCTTCCTGGATGTCTGGTGTTTCCTGTTCTCGTCCCACCCTCGCGATCATGTTCCCCATAAGTAGCACTTCATCCCCTGGCCTAGCATATCGCTTAACCAATGTCTGAATGCGACACGTCACCCTCTTGGCTACCAATGAAGGCGCCATTCGGTGTCCCATCACTGTGTTGTACACCGTCGATCCCTCAGGTGCCGTGTAAGTAGCCCCCACCAGTAACCCATTCCCACGCATGTTCAGGGCATTGCCTTTGATCCGTATCCAGATACTATCCATACCTCGCGGTGCTGTGGATGTGCCAACCAGCTGGGCCACCTTGGCATATCTTTTGCTAACCCACACACAGACACCCCCACGATTGCCATCTCCCCCAGCAGAGAAAACCCGAGCTCCAAGAGGAATAACTCCCTTAATGCAACCCTCTCCCACTTTATGCATTTCCGTAATGACTACTATGTCATACCCATACCCATCAGTCATCATCCGAAACTCATCGCAATCAAGTTTCCAGTCAGTCAGCCCTCCCACGTTCCACTGAAGAAATCTCAACTTACGAGTCTCTTGGCTCGCGGCCCCCTAGGGGTGGTCACCGTGCGGTGCCGTGCCAGCAGAACCACCAGCTCTGCTGGGTTGCACGTCCACCCAGGGTCCCTCGAAGGGGACCCTGTGTTCTCCGTCCATGACCGTGATGTCCACACCACGTTCCCACCTTGGCTGCACCTTCTTGACGTCATGCAGGTGGGTGAACGTTGCCATGCATTGCTGGCACAGCTGTTTGCCCATCTTTGTGAGCGTGTCCATGAGGATGATGCCGTGCTGTTCACGTGCAATCTTTCCTAGGGTGACGAACAACTTCCACACTTGCGGGTTCAGCAGAATGTCAACGGGTTCAGCAGAATGTCGACTAGGATGGTTGGCTCATCAGTACCTGCCCGGTTACACTGCGCATCCGAGGCTGTACTGGCCGTTGCCGCGGGGCGTGCACCCCCTGCAGCAGTACCGCCATTCACCCCAGGCTTCGCTGTCCACGGGACGATATCGAGAGCGTAACGTGCCCCATTTCGCAGCCGCCGAACCATGTCGTGCAGGATGTCGCTCAGTCGGTCCTCATCCACCAGCTTCTTGGGAACCCTCGCCAAAACCTTGTCTTCATGAAACGCTGCGCTGTCGTTGCCAGTCTCATGTCGTCCGGAGAATCCCGCTGCGGCGCTGCTGCTGATCCGTTCCTCCATCACCTTGAGCCTGTTGTCGAGACCAGACACGCTGGTTTCCAGTCCAGCGACTCAGGAGTTCAGCCCATCCATGAGGCTAATTTTCTGATAGATGAATTTTATCATAGCTGCTTGATCCATTTCCTCGTCGGCCATGGTATCGTCCTTCGCCGGTGAGGGCATGGTGGTTCTCTGCCTGTCGCTGCCCTCGCTACTGTCCTCCTGTAACGTGATAAGTGTCCTGATAGGAGTGTTCTCGTTCTGTTTGGCTAGCTTATGTACCCGATCTGCGAGTTCCTTCACCGATTTTGGCGGGGTCTGCTGATGCCTCCCCTTCTTCTTGGCCATACGCCCGCGAAGAATTTCCTGGACAGACTAATATCTTCCAGGTGAACGCCCAAATCAGGTCAGGCACCCTGGCTGCCGACTGTCAGCTGACGATGTGCAGAGGACCACCATGCCCTCACCGGCGAAGGACGATACCATGGCCGACGAGGAAATGGATCAAGCAGCTATGATGAAATTCATCTATCAGAAAATTAGCCTCATGGATGGGCTGAACTCCAGAGTCGCTGGCCTGGAAACCAGCGTGTCTGGTCTCGACAACAGGCTCAAGGTGATGGAGGAACGGATCAGCAGCAGCGCCGCAGCGGGATTCTCCGGACGACATGAGACTGGCAACGACAGCGCAGCGTTTCATGAAGACAAGGTTTTGGCGAGGGTTCCCAAGAAGCTGGTGGATGAGGAGTCTGCCAAGGATTCGCGAGGGCACGGCACTGCAGCGCAGTTTAACGGCATGTTGTGAAGGTCCTTGTGCTGTAATGTTCCCAATATTACGGCTGTGGTTATTTATTACCTTCATTGCGGGGTGGGCTCTTGCGTCCTTTTTCTCTGTAAAGTCTTCGCCTGGGATCCAACACTGCGGTAACAGCGTAAACCATCTCTTTTGATTTTTAGAATTAAAGGACGTGTCCGACTTGTTTGATGAAATCCAAGGCTAAAATACCAACGTGCCCATGTGCCAAAGTGAAAATGTGCGAAAGCCCTGCTCGCCTGCTGTCAGGTAAACCGTTGCAATGTTCGAAACCGCGGAAGTGGATGAACCCCGTCAGGAAGGCTTCTGGTAGGAAATTTCCACAAAGCTTCAATTTGCGGCCCAATATAATTTCAGTCTTTGGCATTCGGCGGCGAAAAATCGGATCCTGTCCGGCACCGTTCATACCTTTCCTGTCCGATGAGACATTCTGGTAACATGCTTTTGCTTAGGCTAAGAAATTTTCCAATAACGCTTCCACTTCTATGCTCGTAAGCTCCTATCTCTACTGCGACAGCCAAGCGCCGAGCAGTTCTGCGAGGTGCCAGGCATCGACACAAAATATTGTACCAACTTTCAAATTTCCTGCACCATCATGTATAACCTGCCGCAGGCCACAGATCGCGCGGGCTCCTAGGCCCTTTTGCGCCTGGCGACCGCGCTTAACGCCTCCCCAGCGGCCCCCGACCGGAGTCCCTCGCCTGTCGCAGCTCCGCGCCTTACCCGACCAGCCAGCCTCGCCGTTCACCTCTAGCCCAGACTTCCCTTCCACGGCACCTGAAGCCCCCGACGTGGGAATGGAATCCCCTAAGGCGCGAAGGCAAGTCGGCCAATCCCCCCGCCCAGGGCGAAGGAGGGGGCCTCGAAGTTATCCGTCAGTCAATCAGTCAGTCCAGTACACATGTCTCCGCTGACATCCACCACCACATCCCCCCCGCCATCACCACCATGTCCTCTCTCCCCCCGTTCGGATCTGGTCCGTGTCCGTTTGTCCCCTCCCCGAACTCCCACTGCTGCTGCTTACAACCCCCCCCGTCACCTCCTCTTCATCCCGCCGTCCAGGGCTTCAGGGCGAGTCCCCAAGTCTCCCAAGTCCCCAAAGAAAAAGGAAGCTGCTGCTACAGACCAGCAAGCCGAAGACAGCGCTACTGCTGCTGCTGCCACTGCCGCCACTGCTGCCGCTGCACCTGCTGCTACAGCCCGCAAGCGGGAGCTGGCGGCGCCGTCGACGGGGGACGTTGTGCATGCGGCCACGGAGGTAGAGGCGGAGTCCGGGCCGCTGGATGGATCTGCGGGTGCGGCGGCTGCCCCCGCCAAGAGGGCCCGCAGGGAGCGCGACCCCGCCAGGTGACACCGCCAGGGCGAAGAGGGGACAGCCGCCTCATCCCCGCTAAGGGACAGCCAGCAGCTCCAGGCTGCTGCTAAATGTATGTCTGTTTGGGCCTTACTCCTGCCGCCCCGCACCCCCACATCGCGCCAAACATATGGCCATACGGCCGCCGTACATACCGGCATACCTGACCCAAACCCAAACCCGACGCAATGTGTGTACCCGGGGGCCCGCCAGGGGGGCCAAAAACCCTAAGGCCCGGGAATCAGGGGAGGCGCTGGCTCCAGGGGGGGTAGCGGCCACGGGAGCAGCTGAGGCCAAACCCGCACCGGCAGTACGGACACGCAAATCACGGTGGGTGCGTGAGTGGGTGGGTGTACCGCTTTACCCAGCTTCTATCCACCCGGCAATGTACGGCCCGGTACAGCATTGCGGTGTAGTACGGCAATGTACGGCACTGCGGTACTCAATGTTTCGTGGATGGGAAGCCGACCGCTTGGATTTTGTTTTGTAACCAGGGGTGGGGATTCTGTGCAAAGTTTAAAGGCGGGGGGAAGGGGGGAAGAGGGGTCGACCCGTGGGTCGTTTTCTGGGTAGGAGACTGATCCATGGGGGCCAGTTGGCCTTTGTTTCTGCTTAGCCTCCGTTGGCTGCGGGTTGTGAGGCTGCCAGCCGGGTTTCCTGCTTCGTGCCTCATCCGTTGTGTATGCCCTCACCCGTTGCGGCATTAGGTCCAGGAAGGGTGTGGCGGCGCTGACGGCGGTGGCGGCCGAGGGGGTGGTAGCGGGGGGGGCTGCCGTGGCTACGACGGCGGTGACGACGACGGCGACGGAGGGCGGCGCGGGGTCAGCAGCCGGAGGCGGAGGCGGAGGCGAGGATGCCCACCCGTTACTGGGCGGCCGGCAGGACCCGCCCGAGGCGGAGGGGAAGGTGAAGGCGAAGGCAGCCACGAGACGGGGGCAGAAGGCAGATCCCCGTAGGTGTCGCCGAGTGGGGGTGTTCGGGAAGTGTGGGTGTGTATTGGGGGGTGTACGGCGGTTCAGCGGGAAAGTGCTCCTGTGTCGTGAGGGAGGCACGGGAGGGGTGAGTAAAACGGGTTTGGGGGGAAGGGGGGAGGAAGGGGTTGGAGCCAACGTGCCGCCCTCCCCGAGCACCCTCGAGGCCCGGGGATGTCGTACCCGTACTCGTACGGCGGAATGCGGGCGTCCAGCCCCCCCGGGGATATGGAGTATGGAATATAGGTATGAGGTGTACGGCGGGATGAGTCCTGATGAGCCGCGTCCCGCCGCGTTGGCTGCCGCCCTGATGACTGACTGACTGACAAACAGACAGACAGACGTGTACATGCTGCCTTGCGAACGACCTCCGTACTGCAGTACCGCAGTACACCGCGGCGATGCGCAAGCCGCCACCCGCGGAGGGGGTACCGCTGCTCAACATACTTAGCTGGAATGTGGCAGGACTGCGAGCGCTGGTGAAGAAGGTAATGGAAGGCGGGAAAAAAGGGGGGAGGCGGTAGCCTCCGACGAAGGGTCAAAAACTCGCCCGGAAACCCCGATCCCAAGTGTGCTTTTTAGCTTTTTCTGTGTGTCTATAGACGGCCTTGGGATGACGCCGATGCCAAAGGAAATCAAATTTAGAGAAAAGGGATACATCCTGCATTATCTTTGTCTATTCCTGGAGTATCCGTTTATTGACCCTAGGGCTCCAGCGTCAGTCGTCTGTGGTTCGTCTCCCCCCTGCCCTTCCCCCGGCGTAGGACCTCCTCCGAAAATGTCCCCCCTGGCCACCGTCGTTGTCCCAGCATTCTTTTCCATTTCCCCCGCCTCCCCCTCACCCCCTCCTCCCCTCCCCGCGCCTTCCCCGCCTCCCCCTCTGTGTTTCGCAGCACCCCGGCCTCATCCCCTCCTTGGTGTGGAGGGAGGGAGCCCGAGTGCTGTGCCTCCAAGAGCACAAGCTGCAGGGCAGCCACACGGGGGAGATGGAGGCGGCTCTGGGGCTCCAGGCAGGGCACGACAGGGGGCGTGCGGGTGTTAGGGGTGCACGGGGAAAACCCGCCTAGCCAGGGGGGATAGGGCGATGGATGGGGGATGGGGTGGTGGGTGGATTTCAATGGGTTTGAATGGAAAGAAGAGACTGAGGGATGAGTCAGACAAGACGGGGGACGGGGGAGGGGGATATGGTTAAGAGTTCTGGGACTAGCTGCCAGCTGCCAGCGGGCAGGGGGGGTTGAGGGAACCTTAAGGAGGGGGGGAAGGCGTATGGGCTCAGCAAGGTGTGTTTGTGTGTGTTTGCCCTCCCCCGCCCCCGCCCCCTCCCCCGCCCCCGCCCCCGTTTTCCCTGCTCTCACATTGCCCCGTTCAGGGTTGGCACCATCAGTGGGTCTGCTCCACAGGCAAGTTGGGTTACTCGGGGGTGTCCGTACATACAGCCTCGCGGCCCCTGTCCGTGACGGTGGGTCTGGGGGCCGGGGGGGGATCCACCTCCTCCCCGGATTCGGATCCGGATCCGGATTCCGAGCACGAGGTGGAGGGGCGGGTGGTGACGGTGGAGCTGGAGGAGGCCTTCGTGGTGAACGTCTACGTGCCCAACAGCGGAGAGGGCCTCAAGCGGCTCGACTACCGGATAAACCGTTGGGATGGCGCTTTCGCAAAGTACGTCAAGGGCCTGGAGTCGCGGGGCAAGCCGGTGCGTGTGTGTCCGTGCGCGCGTGCGTGCGTGTGCGTGTTTTTTTTTGTGTTTCCATAACCCTCCTGCAATTCCCTTTTGGTGATATCCAAGTAGGGTTCCTTCCTCTAAGCGGCTTAATGCGCGATGGCCGTGCTCCTTAAGAGGCCGGTATCTGAACTTTTTGATGATGGGAGCATTTTCATCTCCAGCTCCAGCTCCAGCTCCTAGTAGTTGTAAGGGAGCACACGGCTGGTGCGGCTCGCTCGTCCACACCGGGGGGGCTGCGCTGCCTAAATAGGCCATTGCGCTACTGAGCCAGGTGGTCTCATGCGTTTCAGGCTGGCTGAGGGTGCTGGGGACTGGAAGCTCAAGTCTCTAACAGCCTAATGGCCGCGAGCGTGCTGTGCCGCAACGCAACGCGTACCTGCAGGCTTTGTGACTGCGGAGCGTTTGGGGTCGAGCTGCTGCATATCTTTTGTGAATGAATGCCCGCCAGCTTGGGGCCCTCGAGTTAAATACGAGGGCTAGACCTAGCCTTCGTATTTCCCAGGGCGCGAAATGCAATAGTATAATAACTATTCTGGCTAGGGGCCGCTCCTGTAGCTGTGGCTAGATATCTCTCGAAGGTCTGGGAGGTAGACCCGCAGGCACCTCGTCGCGCGCTGGCGCTTCGAGCCGCCCAGGCGAGCGAGCGGGGGGAAGGGATGCCAGCGGCCCCACTTCCAGCACCACCACCACCACAACAACAACAACAACAACAACAACAATATTGGTGCTAGTCCAGTTTTAGTCGTAGCCTAGCGTGCTGAGTTGATGTGCGTGCCGGTACGGACCGTTCGATCTTCCTTTCCAGGCTAGCGGCAGGCGATGTGCCCTTTGGCCTTGGTTTCTTTGCCTTACGGTATAGAAACTTGGTAGCCCGCTACGATAACACAACAACAACAACAACAACAACAACAACAACAACAACAACAACAACAACAACAACAACAACAACAACAAGACTAACGAGACAGTCAACCGGCCATGGGCTCCTCACTCCCCGGGGCTTTCATTACAGACCACCCCCCACCCCGCACACTTGTGCGCGTGCGGACGACTTGTGACTTGCTGCCGCCTTCCTGCGTCCCTCCTCTTGCCCTTCCTTCCTCTGCAACCCCTCCCCCATTCAGTTTAGTCACGTGCTCTCCCCCTCCAACCCCCCTCCTCCCCCTCCAATCCCCCTCCTCCCCCCTCCAATCCCCCGCCTCCCCCCTCCAACCCCCCGCCTCCCCCCTCCAACCCTCCGCCTCCCCCCTCCAACCCCCCGCCTCCCCCCTCCAACCCCCCGCCTCCCCCCTCCAACCCCCCGCCTCCCCCCTCCAACCCCCCTCCTCCCCCCTCCAACCCCCCGCCTCCCCCCTCCAACCCCCCGCCTCATCCCTCCAACCCCCCGCCTCATCCCTCCAACCCCCCGCCTCATCCCTCCAACCCCCTCCCCCCCCTTGAAGGTCATCGTGACGGGGGATCTCAACTGCGCGCACAAGGAAATTGACATCCATGCCCCCAAGACCAACCTACGTTCCGCGGGCTTCACAGTGGTGGGTATCTAAAGGGGGGGTACGGTCGGGCAAGGTAGGGGGGAACAGCTGCTCATTCGCTGAGGAAGGGGGCCTAGGGGAAGGAAACGATCGTACGGACCTGGTCGGCACTGGACCCGCCGTACGCCTTGACCAGGCGGGCCATCGCGGTAGGAGCCCTGACTGGCAACCGGGAAATGAGCTAGATGTTGGTTTGTGCCGTTTTTCCGTTGATTTCGGTTTGCGGTTGGGATTTTCCTTTCCGCAGGAGGAGCGTGAGAGCTTCGGCCGGCTGCTGCTGGGCGAGGTCGGTCTGGTGGACACCTTCCGCGAGTTGTTCCCCTGCACGGTGGCGTACACGTACTTCACCCGCAGGTTCAACTGCAGGGAGCAGAACAAGGTTGAGGGGAGGGGAGGGGAAGGGAGGGGGCTTCCGTTCCGGAGCCGAGTCCGGTGGTTTCTGTCGGGTGGTAGTGGCAGTGTGTGCCGTCAGCCCGATGTTAATGTTGATGTTGACGATGCTATCGTGGTGGCGGGGTGGCGGGATATCAACTTGCCTTGCCAACGCCCACCGACCCACTGACCCACCGACCCACCGGATGCCCGCCATGTGCCGGTACCGGTACCTCTGCCTCTGCTCGTGTAGGGCTGGCGGTTGGACTACTTCCTCACTTCGCGAGCCCTGATGCCCCCGGCAGCAGCAGCAGCAACAGCAACAGTAACGGTCGTGACAACAGCCGCAGCAACGGAGACGGCAGTAGCAGCAGTAACCGCAGTAGCAATTGATCAGGAGGCTGAAGCGGGAACAGCGCTAGCTAAAGCGAACTCTGCACTTGCGGCGGTGGCGGCGCCGACGCTTTCGACGCCATGGCGTGTGTACGACAGTTGGATATTGCAGGACGTCTACGGATCGGACCATCTGCCCCTGGGACTAACACTCATCAAGGTTTGACCTTTTTCATCTTCTGGATGAGGATGATGCCACAAAAGCACGCATGGCGTAAGACCCCCTAATTTTTTTACGCCTGCGCTCCTCCAGTTCACTCCAGCAAATTCGACGGGGCCTGATGGTGGTTTTTTTTAATTACTTCCTTCACCTTTGGAAACCTGGTTAAGGAGGTACTACAGACGTAAATACCAAAAGAAGCGCTTTGAGCTGGGGCCCTGAGAACTTTTACAAGGACTCCACGATGATGAGGATGAGGAGGAGGAGGACAGGCGATATGGACATATGGCAATATTCAAACGCATTGTGACGATCATCGGCTACACAAATGCATACTAGTCCATATCTCCAGCACCGTGGAACCAAGCAGAGGAATGACTTCATCAAGCACAGCTGTTGTGTAATCGCATACATCATTCGGGCGTGATGGCGGCCCCCTATGCGGGATCCGTCGCCTGCCGCCTCCGCCCCCTCCGCCCGCGTAAGCGCAACGCCAATGCAAGCCCATACAGCAACCAGCCGGCAGAACTGATGCATAAGAAGTGAAGTGCCTTGTCTACACCTGCTGGTTCAGTGAAGCGACCAGACCTGCCTGCTGAGCTGCTGCGTGCTCACTGAACTGGCGGCTGGTGCATGTTGACAGGCGGTGAAAGTCAGAACGGGATATGGGCTAAGTTCGTGATTTGGCTCCTCCCTTCCTCCCGCGACATTATTACTGCTTTTCATGCATGACGGCTAACTACCTGGCTTCGGCCACGTGTGCAAGTACGATACCGACAACCATACCGAGAGACAGTCAGTTGAATGTCGTTGACGCCGTACAATTTCGATTGGAACTGAGATCCACAAAGATCCTTTCCATCACAGTTTGTGGACCTCAACCTTCGTCCGTTTCCGGAAAGCACCCGCCCCACGAGCACAGCCCCGGCCGGGCGACTCACAATGCCGTACTGTTGCGAGAGATGCACAACCGTACAACCGTACACGCGGACATCACGATAAACAACAGTATAGCCTATCGCCATATCATTCCTCAGGAAGGCGCATTCATGTATACGCTGCGTGGCGTTGATTTGAAAGCGAAATGTCTTGCGGCCCGAGAGGCGCCGTACCATAGCTGCCATACCGCCAACTTCAATCCGGAATTAGGCACCAGCAGCAACCGTCACGGGTGCAAGAAGTGTTCTTTCAGTGTTGCCGGCAGCAATGCCTCTCCCCCAACCCCCGGGACCCCCAGGGGTGTCAGGTATGTCCCCGTGGCCCCTAGCGACTCAGCAGGCTACGAGTGTATCTGTGTTCTGTAACCGTGTGTGGCCGGGTCGCAGTCGGGGGCCTCCGTTGTTGCATTGCCGATCCTGATGACCTCTTTCAACACGACACTTTCTGGATGCTGTACATGATGCATACACATGCTGCTCTGTCTACATACATTCATACATACATTATGCTGTGTGCTCCCGACCCTTGCGCTGTGTTTCGGCTTCGGCCCCCGGCACTCGCGGCCCACAGTGTAATCTTAGTCATACATACATACATACGCACACTTGCTATGCAAACCCAGCAACCCACACCACCATCATTATTGTCAACGTTACCAACGGCGGCAGTTTAAAACTCGTATGATGCAGTGTGCCGAGCGAGTAGACCCTAACAATATAGCCGATTTTTTGACAAGTCTCTCGAACCCATCTCGAACACATTCTATACGCTTCTACTCATATAGTCGCAGTGCGTCGCATGCCTGCATGAATATGTGCGGGCGCGGCTTTTGTCGTCTCTAACTGTAAGCAAATCATTCCTTAAAAGTGCTTAACATTTTGCCTTGTGCCTTTTCCTTGGACTTCATGCACGCTGTTATGCAAAAACGGCGGGAGCACCATCTGCTGGCATTTCTCTACCAAGATGCCATAACCGTTGGCTCTGCGATGCATCCCAACACCGCCAAAAAAGGACATCTGGCGTCGTGGAGTAACGCCAGATGGCTCAATTAGAATCAAATCGCCTTGAATTTATATTAATGCTGTAGCAGCACCAGCAGCAGTACCAGCAGCAGCAAGGGTAGACGGGGAGCCTCGATGGGTGGAGGCATGCGGTGTGGGAATGTGGCAGCCGTGTAGCATTGGCCCAGAGGTTTCGGAGCCGACTTGTATGTCGTACTTGTTAGGCCTGCATGGCCGGGACCAGAATCCAGTCATGGTGTCTCAATGCACAAGGACAGGGACAGGACAGAGATGCAAGGGCTCGTCCAATTCTTTCCGACGCTTGGGGGAACAGAGCCATATGCGATAACAGGTAGCGGCCGGACTGAAACCCCAGTTCGACGGCATGCACGTGTGCGCATGCTGTAGGTAGGGAACACTGCCACATGCCGTCCGCATAGGGCCCAAAAGGAATAACCAGGTGCAGCATGAACGGCATATTATCGTCCAATGTCCGTACCAGTTGCTGCCGTGCATGCAAAAGATGCTATCATGTCACGCGGAGGCAAAGAAACATCTTGCTGCAAGCCATTCACACCGCGAAGGGACGGTGTGAGATGTGCGGACTTGCGGCCATGCAGACCATGGCCGTTTAAAACGTACACACCATGACCGTACGAACCGTACACTTGCGCGTGCTATTATGCCTGAAGGCGCTCCATAGCTGGTTAATGAAACGAGGCGTCACCTCGTCGCGCTCTGGCGCTTCGAGCCGCCCAGGCGAGCGAGCTGGGAAGAAGAATGTCAATGCCCCCACTTCTGGCACCACCACCACCACCACCACCACCACCACCACCACCACCACCACCACCACCAGACTACTAATACTACGACTAACAATATTAACAATAACAATAATAGATAATGATTGTAATAATAATAATAATATTTGTGTGTGTGTGTGGAGAACTTGTACTCTTGCAACTTACCTAAACCATATGTGTGTTAGTAAGCGCGACGTTCAAGATCTGCCACGGGTGTGCACCACGACTCGGGTCCCCTCTCGTCGCGCCACCACCAGCTCCACACGGCCATAATCCAACAGCAGCTGCTTCCTCTACACCACTGAACCTTTCCACGCGGCTACAACCCCCTGCGCCAAAACTGTTAAGAGAACTGCTTCAGAATGATCGATCCTTGCTTCCGAATTAAATCCATCGCATTGCCGCCGGTGACCGGCCGTAACGCCATCGTCGCTGTCGCCGCTCCAAGCGGGTGGAAGACGCCAGCTGCGGCCGCTTGAGGTGACTTACGCCTGGCAGCCGACCAGCGACAGCCGCCGCCGCAGCTTGTGCGGTCACAAGAGCCGCCAGGCGAGAGCGTGGCCTAAGGATAATCCTCCTCCCACCGCCCCACGGAGCGGCTGCGTGACTTCTCACCATACACCAGCTCTTCCCATCTGGGTTCCGCTAGGGGGTTTCTAAAGGAGGAGTACGGCACATGGGCGTACATTTGGCTGCGCTCGGCTTTCTGAGCCTCCTTGTGACGTCGAAGGGCCTCGGGCTTCGGGTTGTCGTCACTGCCGTACGTTGTACCATGTACGGCACGATAACTCCTCACATCGGGAGTCGAAGTACCCCGCATGTCCTCATCACCACCGTACCGCTTGCCATGCGCGGCACGGACATTCTTCGTGCCAGGCATTGAAGTACCCCGCATGTCCTCATCACCACCGTACCGCTTGCCATGCGCGGCACGGACATTCTTCGTGCCAGGCATTGACGTACCACGTCTTGCTTCATCGCCGCCGTAACGTGAGGCTTGCGCGGTACGGACGCTCCTCCCCCCCGGCGCCGAATACCTCCCATCTTCCTCATCGCTGCCGTACCGCCTGCCGTGCGCATTACGGACGCTCCTCCCGCCCGGCGCTGATGACCTCCCATACTCCCCGTCGCTGCCGTACCGCGTGCTGCGGGCTCCACGTTCACTCCTCACGCCGGGTGCCGAAGACCTCCCCCTCTCATCGCGCCGCAATCCGCTCGTCCTAGTCGTCTGCGTCCGCCCAGTCCTTCTTTTCGAAGCCGCATGGGAATACTCCTCCTCCGCCTCCTCCTGCTGATAGTCCTCCGGGTACTCGTCCTCCTCCGTATACCGATACTTCGATGATGGCCCCGGATGCAGCAGCGGCCGCAGGTTCGCTTTCTTGCAGCAATTCCTGTACGCGATAACTGCGGTAATCACCAAGCCCACAGCCACTGAGCCCCCAACGGAGGCCAAGATCACCACCGTAATTTGCTTGTCGGTCAGCCCACTGGGGTTGGTAGGCTTGGGCCGGATGCCTGCACGGTATATGGGGTTTGGGGGGGAAGGGACAGTGTCGTACTGTCGTACTGAGCTGGAACCGTACGGCACATCCATGAAGCCAGATCGTGTGGGTGAGGGAGCCTACACCAACAGAACTGCGCGTGGAGCGATGCAGTCGGCCGGCGGCTATGCGCTTCGAAGCGACCAACGATGAGGGTGCAGTTGGAGGAAGAGATTTCAGGAGGAGGAGGAGGAGGAGGAGGGCGGGAGGGATGCTCCCATTTTGCCCCGTCGCCAAAAGGGCCGAGCTTGCTCAGGCGCTTGCTTGCTCGGGCCAATGAGGTAGCGGCGGAGGCCGGCAGGGCGGTCGGGGGGGTACACAGCACCGAAAGGGGAAAGAGATGGAGACAGGTACCGGCCAAACGCCTCTCCCACCCACCGCCCTCAAGAACCTTCAGAACAGCTTTTCCCGTTCCATCCTGCGTTCCACCTTGGGGGTCCCCAAACCTGCATAGTTCCTAATCTAGCCGCAGCAGGAGCAGGAGCAGGAGCACAACAGTCCTAGAGGTATATTCTCCAGGCCCAAAGAACGCAATCCGGCTGTCATAAGCGCGGGCTTCGAATACAGAATATTAGGTTAGCCGCGCGTGTGCTTATTTCCCTGCAATAACACACGTCAGGTTCAACAAGCTATCGCCCTGAGCCACAAGCTCCGCTCGCGAGCGAGCGGGAGGGTCCGCTAAAGCTCCTAGCCCAGGCAAATGTGGACGTGGATGTCCATAACATGACTGCCGGAACGGGCGGTGGGTCTTTCGGGGGCTTTCTTTCAGGCAGGAGAATTGTGTACCGCCGTACGGTTCGACTTACTGGGCGGAGGCGGCGGCTTGGGCGGCTTGGGCCCCGGGGATGGTGGGGTTGGTGGGCTGTACGGCGGTGGCTTTGGTGACGGAGGTAACGGAGACCTCGGCCTTGGCGGCTTTGGTGACGGAGGTGACGCAGATATCGCGGCCGTCTCGTCAGGCACGACAAGGATTGAGGTTTGTGGTGGGGATGGCAGTTCCGGATTGAGTGCTGACGGTGCGAGTGGGTTTGGTTTGGGTGGCGGAAAGGAAGGCGGTGATGCCGATGACGGCGGTGGAGGGCTGCTTGGCGGCAGTGACGGCGACGACGGCGACGGCGACGGTGAACCATCTTTTGTACTCCACTTCCAAGAGCAAACTTGCGTCTCTGCGGGAAGAACAGATTAGATGCAAGTGGCCAGGTCGCACTCCATGGAAATATACATGTTGAGACGAACCAAACCAATGGGACCTTTCAGCGTGTGGTACGACGATTGCGACATGTGCTGCTCTGTCACCCCCACACCCACCCACATGTCACCCCCTTAGAACCCCCCCTTGGCACATTGGAGGTCTTGGTTGGCTAGAAGGCTGCTTGACAACAGAGGAGGCATGGCCGTTGCGGTTGGGGTTGGATCGCTTGGAGAATGTGCCAGCAGCAGCATTAAGATACGACGACGTACTGCCCGTGCGAAGCAAGTTGTAACTGATTCCTAGGCCACCAAGCCAGTGGCCACGAGAGACAGCTTGGTGCTTCCCGCCAGCCAAGCACTTGCTCGGGAGCCCCGGGCTCCCCAGCCCTCACGCCAGTCAGGACCCGGAACAGTGGAGCCAAGGAGCGTGCGAAACCCCCGTACGTACGAGCCCCCTGTTTGTACGACCCCCCTGTACGGGAAACCGCCGCCATGAAAAGGCACGTACCGTTTCTAGGTCGTTGGGAGGTGTTGCAGTACCGGATGTACGACGGGTCGTTGGGAAGTTGAGGCCCTTTGTTGAAGCAGTACAAGGAGTTGTCCCTGCATGTGGTCACGTTTGGTTGCGACGGCGCCAGCTCACAGCAGCTAAACTCGGGGCATGCCGTACTCGCATTGGATCCACTGAGATCCGAGATCCAGGCGTCACAGCTCCGGTAGCCAGCTGGCAGGGTCTCACAGTCGATTTCTAAATGGCGGGCGGTGCGGGCGAGGGAATCCCGCAGGGAAGCGTGGGATATCAGGAAATGAACAAGATGGAGGCCAGGGAAGGAGGTAGGATGCGGGGAAGCAGGGGTTTTAGGGTTTTAGGGTTTTATTCCAAGGGCTGCAAACAGCTGTGACATCCGGCTGTTGAACTAAATCATTGGATTGGTTTCATCGATATTATCTGGCCCCAGGATTCCTCGTCCTTCATCTGTTGCTCTAATATTGAACTGCTTAGGGTCTCTGTTGGTCCATAAGCGCCACACAGGTATACTCTACTTGGTTGTTCTTATCGGTTCTAAGTCACAATGCGGCACAAACACCACACACACACACACACACACACACACACACACACACACGCACACACACACACACACACACACACACGCGCGCGCGCGCGCCGTACATATAATCCTAAACCCTAAAACCCCCATGCCAATGTCCCGACACCACACAACGAACAGTGCTGTTGTCCTGCGTGCATAGCTGCATCAACATACACACACAGACACACAGACACGCACGCACTCACGGCTTTCAGGGTCGCAGTCCTCCGAAACCAAGTAACTGTTGAGAATGCGGTACTGGGAGCCGCCGCACTGGTCTGTGGGAACCAGCGGGGACGGGTGAGGGACGCACAGGTCGAATGCGGGGGCGAGGCCGCGGCGAACTGAACAGCATCCGATTGTAGAAGGTTGAGGGGGGCTAACCCGCAAGGGGGCATTGGATGATCCAGCGGCACCGTAAGTGCGTCATCCCCTAAGAGCTTCCGAGATCCGGGTGAACGAGGCGTTACCAAACGGGGAGGCATGCACCTACCTAGATAGCTGCACAATTTTAAGAAGTCGTTTGTGAAGTTTCCGACTTTTGAGAATTTCGTGCAGAGGCAGCTTTGGGAGTCGTACACGAATGCTGTAGGCGATGGTTGCAAGCGACGGTTGCTGGCGCCCCAATCCCAACTGATGTGCGCGGCGATGATGGCCTGCAAGGACGGAAATACAGCGGACTGTGTGAAGCTTGCGTACTACGGGGGATATTGGACCTTGGTTTGTTGCCCTGGGCGGGTACGGTTTGTAACGGCTTGAACATCTTATTGTATGAATGTCGTATCGATGTGTTATGAACCGATTCATCATGGCCGCACCTGGAGTTTTAGGCATGCTAGGAGGAATAGAAGTAATCTAGCGACAGGGGGCTTGCATTGCCGTGCAAACATAGATAAGATATTGCTTATCGGATCCCTTATCTTGAGTTTATTCCATGAGTTTAAATAGGACAAAGTCCGTGCTTCTAAAAAATCGCGGTTGTCACCCACGACCTCTGCGGCCGGCTGCTTTCCTACCTGTGTCGCTTTGGGATAACCATTGGTAATGTCTTTTGGCATGAGACTTAAACAGTTCCTGAGGAAAAAACATGACTATTTAGATGCTTGTGGTCGCCCTTTCCATACTGTCATGCGCTCGCTACCGCTGGACACTCTGACCAAGGCTCCAAAAAAATGTATGCGTCAGATAACGCTGCGCCGGTTGTCACCTATGCGACTGCGGCACAATCTCTTAGCTACCATGCTCTGCGTGAAGTGTATGTGTGTGTGTCTGTCTGGGACTGTCTCGTTGTCGGCTCGGCAGCCGGCGGGCGCAAGTATCGCCGGTCTTCCCAAGGTCGACACACATAGGCACGTCCTATGATTTTCTTAGACCTTTCACCTGACAGCTCTAACATCTATCCTGTTGCCTGCGAAACCGTTGCCGTCCTCTGCGAACGCACGGGAGCGTCCAGGCATGTTTTGAAGGAATGACTGCCAAGAATATACTATGTTACCAATCGCCACTGAAATGGTCCACTGAGACCGTAGGATTAGCGCTTTTCTCCTTGGGAGGTCCTGTACACCGCAAGTACTGCAGTATCTCTTGAATATACAGGTATCACGGATACGGAACGGCTGAGAAATAATAATCAACCTTCACACCACACCACACAACGTTGAAGCCTATACTTTTATTAGAGACCTACGTCCTCTGTTCCACCTTCAGCTACCAAGCACCCCCCGGGTCACCACATTTTGCTAGTCACTCAGCAAGTCAAAAGGTTGTGCATACAAAGCTTGCGGTAGAGGCGGCGAAGGCAAAGTACTGTGCAAGTGTGGCATACTGTAGAGGTGCACGGTGACTATTTGCTGAAGCTTAAAGTGAGACTAGTGTTGTGAAGTAAACCACCATCATTTAGCGTATTGAAGCTCGCGGATTGGTTGAAGGAGCGCTGCTGGGAGTCCCTCGGGAGGCCCGCTGTGTGCACAAGGATGAAATACCGCTGGCCCTGAAGGATATGGTCTACAGGTATGCCTCACTGCAAAAACTCGAGAGCTGTTGTTGCCTCGAGGCACGGCTTTCCTTTGCAGCGGCCAGTAGAACTGAGGTGTGGCCTTGAGCACAGTGCATACAGGGAAAGGTATTTTACCTGATGCCTAGCTTGGTCTACGACTTGGAAATTGGGGCTAGTCCAGCGTCGAACCCAAGGCGCCCGCTTTTGCCTTCTCGTTTTCCTTTGCAGACTCTGTCTTGGTATTCACCACGGAAAGCTTGGCGGCCCGTCTTGCGTTCCCTAATTAATGGAAGCCTTCGAGGAGGTCGCAGACACCTTCAGTGACTGTGAGGGATGTCCTGACTACTTTTCCAGCAGAATGGGTTCTCTGAACCTTGCATTAACGTCAACCAGCTTCGACCCTGCGTTCACGTTTGATACGTCCTCACGTTCATCGTCATTGCGGGTGCGTTGCTGACTGGCGATGGACGTCACGGAGCGCTGGGATTTCCTAGGAAAATGGCCCAGCGTGCCCCTCATTGTCAATCTTCGTTCGGTATTTATCAGTTGCCTTAGTCGACGCAGTCCCATGGACGTTTATCCCCTTCGACCGGCCTTCGCCTCCCGCCGCGTCGCTCCGGGTGCCAGCGCTCTTCTTGGGCCAGGGGCGCGACTCTCATCCACGCCATTTGCATCAACCTTTTGACACTTCACCATTTCATCACCATGAGAGCATATTAAGAGTTCCACAGAGCAACATGCGCAGCTCGATACCTTCATACCTGCTGCTTCTTGTGTGTGTGTGTGTATGTTTGTGTGAGTGAAGGTTACAAGTATCTGTGTATGTTTGTGTAAATGCGGTGCCCCCGCGGCCCTGGCCTCCCGCCTCCGCCCTGCTCTCCCTCCCCAACTTTTACTCGCTTATCCCTCTCTGCCCGCACAGCACTGCAACAGCAACAACAGCAGCCCGGCTTCAGATTCGCATGCGCTGCCGCCGGCGCCCCCCCTCCTGGCGGTTGTCTCGACGTCACCCGCATGCAGCTCCGCACGCCGAGCTGTCACTGCCATCCGCAGAAGCAGTTTGCCAAACGCGCCATCCACAACCGATGCCGCCGCCGGCCGGCCGTGCCGACCGGCCTGGCTGTCACCATCGGATTGTCCACACAGCTGCAGCACCGGCGTTGGCGGCGGCGGCGTTGGCGGAACTCCAAAAGCGGCCGACGGCACCGCGACTACGGAGGACACGCGGGGGGTGGCATTTTTCCCAGGCACTCTTCGGCACAGTTTGAAACGACGGAGTTGTCCGGATTCCGATCCAGCGGACTCGCAAACGTCGGAACCGTCGCCGTCACCACCGCCGCTGCCGCTGCTGCTCACCAAGGCCGAGGTTGCAGCCGGCAGCGGCAGCACCGCCGCCACCACCACCGCCGCCGTGTCGTTGAGTGAAGGGCTGCCGCCCAGCTCACCGGGTTCTCCGTCGTCGTCATCTTTCGCGTCGTTTGCAGCGGCACTGGCGGCACACTACTACGCAGACTTTGGCAGTGTACCTGACGTCCCTGAGCACTTGGAGCAAGCCAGGCAGCGAGCTGGCAAGCGATTGCGTCTGGGTCCGATAGAGCAGCAGGGATGACGGCGGACAAGACGTTTTGCGCGCTCGTATTGCTGTTGGCATGGTCGGGATGCTGTGGGGCAGCTTTTGGTGTTTGGTGATTGGGTGGAGGTGAAGGTGGTGGCACTGGCGGAGGTCGAGATGGTTGCGGCGGAGAGTGTGCGCGGCGTGACTGTGTCTCTTGCCACGGTCGCAGCCTGCGCTGTTTGGTACGGTGCATCATGGGGGGATATGTTGCCTCAACATTCCACGGTGCTAACATTCCCCATTCTTCAAGCATTTGAAGCGCCTCTCTCCTTTCCTAGCGAAGGAAGCTACAGGGAGAGCGAGCCGGCAGCCGGGGTGCTGCTTACTGCCCTTCAAGTTCCGCCCGACGGGGTTTGGGGTGTATGATCTGGGGGCCGGTGGGGCCGCAGAAGGCGGAGGAGGGGGGCCAGTGGCGGTGCTTGCACATGCGTGTATGTATGTCTGGCGGCACGTGTCCATCGGTGTGTTTTCGGGCCATGTTTTTCACCCCATGCTCAATACCCCCACAACTTTAGATCGTGCATTTGCCGGGGGCAAGCCTGTGCCCGTCACTTGCATCTCTCGCTCTCGCTCGCTTGCTCGCTATACTCCAGACGGGCCGGGCCTGCGGTGCATCATGTGCGGCGTTGGTGTGGGTTTGGGCGGGCGGGCGCACCATTGATGTGAACCACGTCCAACAGGGGGCCAAAGGGGATGGAGATGGGAGATGCGCGGGAAACCGCAAGGCCTGTGGGCTGAGGGAGGAGGTAGCAGGGGCCCGCGGAGGGCCTCAAGGACGAGGGGGGATCCTACCCGACCGCGGCGGTGTGTGCTATGCTTGCGATGGCGGACTGATAGGGCCCTGGACTGAGACGTGCGAAGATCCCTGGAGTCTCTCAGCCGCCAAGAGAACGTGTTGGGCTGGCGGGCGCGTGTCGTTTTTTGCCGCGGGTGTACATATGCGCTTTCCGGGGTCTCGACGGACAACCTCATAACGGCCCCCAAATGGGTAAAATAATGTTGTTGTTTTCAATGACTGACTTACAGGGCTAGGACTGAAATGCATGTTTGCGTGTTTCGCTCTTCGATGCTTGCATTTGGCTTGCTAGCAGCTTTGTGTTCTATCTGGAAAGTATGTAGCTGTAGTTGTAGTAAGCTGCAGTATGGTTCATCACCCGGTCCGGTGGTTGGTGATGTCGCCTGTCTGTTGTAGCATAGTTATGAACGCAGGGCCGCGACTAGACTGAGAAAAATGGGAGCAGTGGGTGGTGGCTAAATATGGCGCGTGTGACTGGGGGGCGTTGTTTCCGGGGCTTCTGGAATCTCACGACGGGAAGCGAATTCTATGCATGCCTTGTCACAGACGAGCGATGCTCCTGACCCCATATGCCGTTCTTTTAATGAGAAGAGGAAAACCTTATGAGCGCTGCTGTGAGGCTGGGGGCCCAGCGCCGGGGGGTTGCGGCGCTTGGCAGTATCTTCAATCTGGGGTGAACGACGACGGACGGCTAGGCGGCTGTTGGCATTCATTCCGGGTTGGCGTGTGCAAGTATGTAACTATGTGTGTGTCTGTGTGTGTGCGCGCGAGCATGGTCGTTGGCCCGCGCCGGTTGTTGCCCCGTGTGTGCTTTCCAGGCAGCGCGGCCGCGGCCGCAAAGGTGAGACGGGGCAAAAGATATGGTCGCTGTGCTGCTCCTTTAATAACCAGGTTGTTGCGTAGGAAGGTGGGAGGAGCGGGAGAATGGATATATGTTCTTTGGGGGGGGCCAAAGCACTAGTAAACGAAGTTTCGCTGTATTGTATTGGTGTGACCGTGTTTGGGTTTGGGTTGCAGGATTCTTTTGATGTGGGTTGCTGACATTGTTCCGAGCTATTCCATGCACGAGCAGTTCTCTTGGAGTTCCGTGCCTGCCGCGAAGAGCTGGAAGAGTTGTGATGAGAACACAAAGAGGCTTTTGTGGACAGTTAAGGGCCAAGGAACCTGTTGTTTTCAAGTGAAACGTGGCCGAGAGGTAAAGCAAGCGGGGAGAAACATGCGTGTTCCTGTCGCAGCCTTAACAACGGGTATGTACGCGCGGTTTTAAAAATACTCCTTATTTGCCTTCGTCTCATACGTGTTGTAATTTTCTTTAGTTACGCGCGCGAAATGTCCTCCTGAGGTGTTCCGCACGGGGCGTCTCACCCTCATCGCGCGGGATTTTTGTCTGTGGTGGGGTGACCCTGGGGGCGAGCGGGCCCCCACGGTCTAATGTTCCCAGTCCAAGTTGGGTTGTTTGCCAGTCTATGCTGTTCAGCAGTCGGTTGGGATGGGTTAGGGCTATATATTTGGCAGGGAAGTAGTCAGGTGACGTAGCGCCTGTTAAGTATAATAATACCGATATGCGTGGGCCGCTTTTTATTAAATGTGGCCGAGCTGCTGCGGCCGTTTCGAAATCCGATGTCGCTTTAGAGGACTAGAGAACATAATCAAGGCTCCTTTTTGATGCGTGCAATTGCAAATGTTTTTTGCATATGCATCATTGTAATTCGCCACAAGTCCGGACATCGTTGTTGCCACTCATTCGTAACTGTACCCATTGTCGAGGCTCTTTCCTTAACGAGGTTAAGAACTTTCGAGGACTAACCAACCGTGCAAGAGCAGCGCAGACCATCTGCGTCGAGTCAGAATCGCGCACACGTCGCCATGACAGGGGACAAGCCCTGTCCCGGCCGGGCCGCGCACCTCCGTGCAGAATTATTTCGGCAAGCCGCTGCTCCGAAAAGAACCATAAGAGTATGTTAGATGGTGTTCTGGGGTCCCTTTCTTCAAGTACCGCACCGACAAGGCAGGCCCACACCGTAAAGGCCCAAACAACGTGACCGAGACAACGAATCTCCTTTGTTCAGACTTTGGATGCCTCCATATTTGCCCACGTTCGTAGTTCTTTATTAAAGTCTGCTCCTAGCTCTACTGGAGGTTGAGCAGTAACCGCAGCCGTCCGTAGTTAGCGGAACAACACACCCACCACATCACCACCATTGCCACTATTTTACATACAGCCACCCTCGCGTACCACACACCACCTGGAATGCAAGGTTTCGTTCCAAGCTTTGGTCCCTACGCTATGGTCGTAAAGAAATCCAGCACACATCAAACAAGGGCAAGCCGCCCTCACAATGCTGTGTGCAATGCGGGGGGGGGGTCGCGGTAATCGCTATTAGCTGTCCGACAGGGCGGCCGTCTTGCACGACGACAGACATACAGAACGCTTCCCCAACTAATCTGCTCAGGTTAGCTCGTGCAAGCACACAGACCCTGTCTGACCACAGCAGTCCGTCCGTCTGTTTCGCGGTCAGTCCGACACAGCAGTAAGGCCCCACATCCGCCACTGGTATCGCACCTAAATGGCGACCGTCTTTGGAACCTGCTGCTGGCACCCGCCGCTCCCTGTGCTGCCTGCCCTGGTTGCTGCTGTTGGCTGCTGCTGCTGCTCCGGTCCGTCCAGTAGTGGCCTGATGTCAAGGCCGCAACTCCTCCTCACAATGCTCCGCCCGCTTCCCACTCCCCCTCTCCCCCTCACTCTCCCTGCGCTCCTCACCCCGGTCGTCTGCCTGGCCCCTCACTTCTTCTTCAGCTCGTCAGGCTGCAGGCGATCCAGCAGCCGATGCGCCTTGCTAACGTCACCAGTCTTGTACGCCAGCGCCATCTGGGCACGAAGCATCTCCTGCGGAGTCGAGGAAACGCGTCAAGATAGTCCGGAGGATGGGACGGTGAGTAGAGGGTTGGGCGGCCGGGCAGGACACGTCCTTCCACGGCAAGGCAAGGCAAGGGGCGAGGCGGAGCAAGGGGCAGTGGGAAATAGCCATATCCCGAACAAAGAGGTAAGCAGTGCATTCCCTTCCTTCAAGCGCCCACCTGCTCGCGCATGTCCTGCCCCTTGTCGCTGTACTTGATCTCGCGGTAAGCATCCACCATGCGTTCTGCCGCAAGCCGCTGCCGCTCCTCCGCCCTTTGTTGCCGCAGCGCCTCCTCATCGTTGAGAGCGCTTTTCTTCTTGGCTGCATGCTTGGCACCCTTGGCGGCCGCTTTGGCGGCACGCGCCCGCTCGTACGCCTCCAAATCATAGTACTTGCGATGTGGTAGCGTGCCTGCACGCACGAATGGTAATCGGGTCACTCTCCTTAGATGCGGGTTTTTATTTATACAGCGATTTAAAACTTTACCTCATAGCCGTATGGTGGCAGATCGGTCAACTGTGGCTCACCAGAACGGCAAACCCGCCGGCGTGCCTGTGGTTGACTGTTGGGGCATTGGTGGTGTGTGTGCATGACCCTGTGCGGAACTCACGTAGCTTCCATGCCCGCTCGTGTCTCTTTCCTTTTCCTAGCTAAAAATAAAATAAAGTATAGCTTCGCGCAAGACCGACCACCATGCATGTGTTCGGAAGAAGCATCTTGCCTGACCCACGTTTCCGTGTTAGTGTAGTGGTCCACCTCACAGCAATGGAGGGGTCCATTCTTCCATAGCCCCGGCAGACAGGTGGTCCCCCGAAGCCCCTTGCCAACCCCATCCAGAGTGTGCGCTGTACACCCTGCAAGCTGCTGTACATCCTGTACACTGCTGTACATCCTGTACACTGCTGTACATCCTGTACACTGCTGTACATCCTGTACACTGCTGTACATCCTGTACACTGCTGTACATCCTGTACACTGCTGTACACTTCAGCACACAGGTACGACAGCCCTAAGCGTCAGCACACGCACCGTGCATTCACACCGCTGATCCCAACCCCAACAAGAGTCGAGTTCCCTCATGGACACCACACCCCAGAGCCGACCCCAGAAACCCCATTCCCCAGTCCAACGCCAACCCAGTCCAGCTAGACCGCCAGTCAATCCGTCTCGTGTCGTACTTACCCGTGTTGTAGTCCTCCATGTAGTCCTTGAACAGGTCACGTTCCTCAAACTTGCCCAAATTCTCCACATCCGTCTTCTTCACCTCTAAGGCCCACAAAATGAACTCGTTGCGCTTCGCGTAAGCGTCGCTCTGGGGACCGAAAGGGAAAGGACGGAAAGGACGGGGCATTCCGGAGGGTGGCCTTACAACACCAACATCAGGGGGGATGCGGGCGGCAGGCGGCATGGCAGCTCACCTCCCGGATGATGCCGTACTTGCCAAAGTCCTCCGAGTGTGTGAGCGTCCGTGCTGCCGCTGCTGCCTTGTCCCTGACCTTGCCCTTGCTGCGCTTCGTCTTGTCCTTGTCCTTGCCCCGCTTCTTCAGCTTCTTGTCCTTCTCAACGCGCTTCCGCTGCGGTGACGAGGAATGTGGAGGAAACGGGCACCACGTGAGGCAGGGCCGGGAAGGCAGACGCAGGCGAGGGCAAGCGGGCAGCCATGCAGGCAGCCGCCGGAATGTGGAAGAAGGCCACGGATCGCAATGCTGAGACACTTCAGCTGTTCATTGACGCCCGCAAAAGGCAGTGGACCTTACACTCCCCACCTCTCTCCCCTGCTGCGTCCTCACTTCAGCTAAGAACCTTTCCTGACATGACCGTCCCTGAAGGTCTCTGTATAAGCGGCAAACCGGAAAACATCCCTGAGAACCATTTGGGTTCGGCCCCAACAGGGCCCATAGCCCTTCGCAGCTCATAGCGGAATAACCTGGCAAGCCAGCAGGTGCTGGCATCGCTCCGGGCCACAAGCGGTAGTCCATCCCTACGCCACCGAGCAGCAACAAGCATGGCTGCCTACATGCCGATAGCTAGGGCTCTGTCCATCCCCGCAAGCCAGCCCGCGGCAGGCAGGCAACTAATTCTCTCCAAGGCCGTACCTTCTTACGCTCTCCCCCTTCGGAATCCGAGCCATACTCCCCGCCAGAGTCGCTCGAGGCGGAGCCGCTGTCCGAGCTACTGCTTGTGCTTGGCTCGTCCTGCTCCTTTTCTAACTCCCGTTGAACTTTTCTGCGTTTCTGTGCAAAGCGGTAGGAGAGGGGGAAATTGCATGGCGATTTTCGCGAGGTGAGGGTAGGATTTTGCAGGACACCTTCAGCCTCCCTGGCACGGGACTGAGTAGCGTGGTCCCACCCGCGTGTTGCAGTAGGTAAGTAATACTACGCCTGAAGGTTCTGCTGGCTATGTGGCCTCAAAGCTCGACTCCGTCTTCAGTAAGCCATAGAGGCAGTTGTCTTGGTATTGCGCACATAGTCGCCGCGGCTGAAGCCGTGGGGAGGTGTGCTATACACGGCCGTGGGCTAAATTCTATCCCGGAGGCAACCCCTCTTACCTTTTGGAGGGCTTTCAGCTTAAGGTCATTTTCAGCGACGAATCGTCGCAGCAGCGCAAGCGCCTTGTCCACGTCCCAGTTGGTCTCACGCAAAGCCACGACCCTTACAAAGAAGCCCAATTGCGGCAGCAGGATCGAAAGTTTCTGCAATGCGGTTTTCTCCTTCTCTAGCTGCATCTGCTCCGCGTGGAGCTGCACCATAGATTTCCCGACATTGTCAGTCTGGCCCGCCGTCCCACGCGTAAAAAAGTTATTGGCATCTATTCCAAGGGCATTAGTTCCCACTGCTGTCGCCATAAAAGCTTTTGTTAGGCGACGGGTGTAACGATTCAGTTAAGTAGCGTCGCCTTACGTTGCCTGTGGCGGTAGATAGCTTCAGCACTAAATTGGCTTTTGCCTGTAATGCAATCAAAAATTGAAATTAACGATGCGCAGGAGGTTTGTGCACATGAACTTGCCAAAACGGCGTACGGCACCCCCGTCGTTACAGGGCTGGCTGGATTCATTGTCGCACTAAGCAGGTTTAGCGGCTCAGCCAAATGTGTAGTATCAAGGGCACAGTTACGTTGCTGACGGGCTCTCGTAGGGTGTGAGTCTTAGCGCGATCCCCTTGTTTGAAAGTACGCTCAGCGTTCACTTCAAACCTTGTCCAGAAATGGTGACCCTGGAAGAAGTAGACAAGCTTAAAGTAAATGTGAGCCTGCCTACCCTTGTTAGCGGTCTTCCAACTATTGGAACTTCTAGCGCGCCGTCCAAACGCACACATAACCTCCGTTTGACTGGCCGTTTTTTCTGTGCAGGAGTTGAAAGCCGCATGTAAGGAGCTGGGTCTGGAGCAAACCGGAAACAAGGCCGACCTTGTCGCACGCCTGAAAGCAGCCCTATCGCAGCAGCAAGCTGGTGGGCAAGAAACAGTTGGAGACGGCGTGGCGCCGGCGACGATAGCATTAGCAAATAAGGACGGAAAGCATGACGCAGCTGCGACAGCTGCAGTTGAGCCCAATACCGTGGAGGCCACAGGACCAGAGGCGCCGTCCGTGCCCACTGCCGCTGCCGGCACAGCAGCGGCCGGTTCAGAGAAGTCTCGTGCACGGATCGCCTTTTCGGACTCAGAGGCAGCGGTGGGTTGCCGTTGGCGGTTTCTGCTGGCACGTGGGCTTGACTGCAAGGGTGCGGACGCAGCCATATGTAACGCCGCGAGCAGATAGGGCGTCCACTATCTGCCATACCTGCCGTTAGCGTAGGCTGCAGGGCAAACTGTTAAGCGTGGGTGACGATTACGATCTGCTTCTTGTTATTGATTAGCAAAGACGAGTGCACGACAAAATGCACGACATGGGCCTAGCTTCGGGCGCATGATAGTACTTCGTCCAGTACCCGTTACGTTGGCATGTGTCTAAACTGCGATGTTATCCTCAGGCTTATCTCTCCCGGCCCTCTGTCAACAATGTGCCCGTGCAGAAATTTGAGGCCCTCAAGGTGCAAGTCGTCAACACAGCCCCTGTCGAGAAGCCAAAGCAGATGACAGAAGCGGAGAAAATTCGGCTACGGAAGGAGCGGTGGGTATGCGAGCACCTCCCAGCTGTTGGCCGTGTCACACAGTGCCATATTTCGTCCGGTATTCCCCTCGCATTCTGATTGCTACGCTTATTAATAGTCGAAACGTACCGTCGTTCGAGTGCATGAGGAATGATAGCTATGGGTGGAGAACCCGCGTTAAGGGAAGGAGGGTCAGAGCGTACGATTACTTCGCAAGACTTTGGGTTTCTCCTGCAAAATTGATTACCGCATTATAGGTGTGTATTCTACGCATCATGCCTACCAGTTCTGACAGGCGCCATTACGCGATAGATATCTCCTTTGCAAGCCTAACCCACTGCTCCTCCTCGCTTGCGGAACAGGTTCAAGGACCCGGATATGGAGCGGAAGAAGCAGCGTGCTCAACGGTTTAACCTGGTATGTACGAATGCGAGGACTATGTCCATGCTTTCCCGACGCGGATAGCGCATATACTTTCCCGGTGCAGGAGATGCTGGTGTAGGCTTTCCGCGGCGACGCCTGTACGTCGGCCGTACGCCTCCTTTCGTCAATGTGGCGCTTAATCGGCCCGACTGAAATACATCTCATGTCGAATCCCTTCCGGGGCCCTTCTGGTATCCTGTCTATCGCCCACGCGCCGCAATTTACAAGAAACTTCCAATTTTTACGTTGTTGCCTGTTGATATCAGATCGACGCGGACCTGGAGAAGGAGAAGATGATGAAGCGCGCTGAACGCTTTGGCACGAAGCACCCAGAGCTGGAGCAGATAAAAAAGGAACAGAGGGCTGCGCGGTTTGGCATTGTGGACGAGGAAACGAAGAAGAAACAACGCCTGGAGAAGTTTAAGCCGCTGTCCAACCCTGCCAAAGCAAACTTTAACCTGTCCGTCAAGCAGGACGACGACTTTGAGGCGAAGCGCCAGGTACGTGAAGCGGATCGGGTATCCCGATGGGACAATTGCTGAAAGGCGGTGTTGGTACCTACCTGGAGCCTACCACACAGACCATGCTGCCGCTGTGGGGATGCGAAAGATGCCCAACCCTGACAGCGAAGTGTTCCTGGCAAAGCCAGCCTGGCCTGGGGAAGTTTGCGCTCTGTCATCCGCCTGATGTCGTTTCATTGTTGTTCTCCCACTCGCAGGCCCGTGCTGCGCGCTTCGCAGCGGCCGAATGAAGTCTACATGCCAGTTGTGCGGGCTGCGGAGGGGACGAGGTGATTTGGTGGTCAACTTACAGCTCCGCGGCCTGAGTTTTGTCCTGGTCTCGTCTGCTCTCCTTGGTAGCGCTCTCCGGAAATGGTGAAGCTCGCAGCCTGTCCCAAGCAGGCGACATGGAGGGGGTTTTATTGTGGACTTGGACCCCTGCTGGGTCAAACATGTGTGCGGTGCGGAGCTGCCGACTGAATCGCAGGCGTTGTGACGACTGGTACTTGTGCATCACCCCCTGCGGCTCACCCCTGCGTGGGGTTGCAGCTCCGGCCATGGTTTATGCACCTTGCGCCTTGGAGGGTAAAGATGGTCCGTCGGACCTACCACAAGGCTTTTGTGGCTGACCGTTTGCTCCGGGGTTGAACAGTTATATCGGCTTATTGGTCGGCGATTGATCTGCTAGCTAGCTGCTGGCTTTTGGACCGTTTGCCACTGCCTGACGCCTCATGCAGGCAGGGTTTATAAGGACCGGGGAAGACAGCACGGCCATGCTGTCTGTGTGATGAAGGCGTGCGGGGGTTTGTGGAGCCAGCTTTGTACATGGCTAAATGACTTTTGCATGGCTTGATCTTTACCAAGCAGTTGCATGACGCCCGCCACCCTGTCCAACCTGTCTGCCTTCACCCGCCAATTTCTCACCACATGCATGTGTCCGTTTTTTGCCTACTGCTTTGCCGCGTCCCCTTGCATCCTGCCACTCTATTTGCTCTGCGTGCAACAAAGCAATGTCCACTTCACGGAAGAATATTGCGAATATATGCCCAAACCCGGAGATTGCGGTAACGCAGCGTGTGGAGTATCGACCTCCTGTGGTAAGTACGCTGTAAGTACTATTTGGCTCTCTGGCCAGCCCTTGCTCACAATTGCATGGCAAATGGCACGACCCCTTTTCATTTCTGTGGCATATCCCAGGAACTGCATGTCTGCCAATGCATTTGTCCATGACGAGGGATGTGGCCGTATCTATGGGGTTTGGTATGGAGGTTCCAGTGTGTGTAAAGGTGGTGTCTTATGGGCGCTTAGACGCGCTCACTTTGCAGCCCTGTTCGCACTCACTCATGTACCGGCTTTTGCACTTTCCCGCCTCCCGTCGTTACGTCCTCACCAAGTCAGGTCTCAGGCAGTATCCCGAGCCAGTGAGACATATTGCATTTGGCGAATAACAACGGTTAGGGCCGATATGAAGCTAAGCTGCTGTTTAGTGCGTCGATGCTCATAATACGTTTTCGGCAAGCGCAAGAGGTGATGGCGTAGGACGATCCGCATAAAATCAGCAACCGATAGGGCTCATCGGTCATGATCGCGAGGCGCACAGCGATGGGTGAGCAAAACAGGTTTTGGGAAGAAGGAAACCACGTAGCATCATGTCTGGCCCACACCCGAAAGCCCAGCACAGCAACGCAATGGTTATATCTACATCGCCTTTGAGTTTGAAGCACAACAACGCAAGACAAAAGAATAAACACTATCATTACATCATTAGGATGAACGCCCGTAACTCGGTTTATATGGGTCACACCAAGTTTTCTGCTTGTCTTATCGTCAGACGACCTTCATTACGTACCCAAGCTCTTACATGCACTGCACGCTGCATGCAAGCTGTCATCTGTGGTTTTGTCATCTCCCTGTACGATACGCGCTACAGAGCCCGCCTGAGACAGCGCCGCAGCTTCTAGGTCCTGCAGGCTGCTCGTAGATACATAGCATATAAAATGCTGAGAATTTAATTGTAATGAACAGTCGAAGCCCTCTCTCCAACTTTCAGAGAGATAGTCGCGTCTCATACATCATCTCTTGCTTCCAACAGGACAAGAACTCCTGGAAAACCCCTCAGTATCCCAAGGCTTCACTATCGTTCTTGGTGATAAGCAACGACCTAAGGCTTTAGACAAGGTGGGAGCGGAGATAGAGAAAAATGTTACGGCATCGAGGTCCCTTTGTGGCAGAAGTCAAGCTGACATGTACTGATGCGTAATTGTTGTTACTATGCAGGCATAGTAAACATGGACGCCAGCGCACGTGTCGCTAAGCTTATGCTCGTTCGCCGGAACAGCCGCAAGGACCTCGCAAAGTTAGGCACCCTCTTCTCCCAGTGGTCTTCCGCACGCTCGGCGAGCGATCCTATGAGGCGGATGACTATGGGTGGCGCGCCGCCACCTGTGCCAGCGCCTGAGCCTGTTGACGCCTGCATGGACGCTTTCTGCGCAGTCCAGCTCAACCCCACCAACAGCATCACCAAGCAAGACGGTCCATTGTATTCCCCACGTGGTAGCTTCAAGAACCTGGCCAGCTTGATGCTCAGCCCGGCCACGAGCCTCAAAGATGGGGCTTCGCTGCTTTCCCCACAGGCTAGCCTCAAGTCGAGTCTTGAAGCGCTCTTGCGTGCCAATTTGAGGACCAACGATGATACCAACAATGAGGCACCCCAACCGGATAGGATGGCCAGCGTTACATCGCCAGCCGGTGTTGGGCCTAGCTTGCAAGTCTGCTGACTGCGGCGGCGAGACGATGCTTTCATCGGAATCCTTTGCACCCAGAATGCTGAAGTATTTGCATCATCTTGATTTTTAGCTTCGACTCGTGCTTCTCAGCCCTTGGCGGCGCAGTACAGGTTTGATAGACTGGTGCGATAGAGCAGCGGCGCCGTAAGTCGCCGGCTGCTGCGAGTTTTATGATGTTACTAGTTCCACTTGTCCCATTCATCGGTCTACTTTTTGAAGTTTTTTATTTTTCGAACGCGCGTCTGACAAGTGTGAGTTTTTGCTTGGATACTGGACGTCGTGAGCTGCGTCTTTGCTCCTTAGAGCCATCGTATGGCGCCATTATAACTCTTTTTTGGGGTGATTGGACTCCCACGTGTAGCACCTATAGCCCTATTCAGCTATCAGCTTTGGAATTACTAGGCACTCGATTGGGTGCGTGGATTATTAGACGTTCACATAGCTTTGATTAGAAAAAAATTGCGGCGTGTGCCGCTATCGTGTTGAATCTATCCTGGTTTGGTTGCCTTTGGGGCTCTAGACACCATAGCCCATCGTTATCGTTACGCGTGTAAGATGTAGCAGCCGGCTTCTTTGTTTTATTTGGCTTCACTTGTAATTGTACGGCCGTACCGTTACGAATAGCTCCATCATCTCTCATCAACATAACCAACACTCGCTGCACACCTTTAAATCTGTCCGAACGGATTTCGACTCTTTATTTTTACAACGAAGGGCATCACTTTTATCTAAGTAATGCTATGTTTTGGTCCAGCATCAAAGTTCAGACCCGGACGTCACGTACGTTTCTGTCAGCAACGCATTTACAGATTGAACGAACTTTAAAGTCATGCACGTAAAAAGACATGACGATGTATCTGGCATTCCAGTATTACGAAGACCAAAAAGCGTCTGACTACTAACAAGGCAAGTCACACCACAGGACTATCCCCTGAGTCCAGCGGTCAGCTCCCAAGATCTGAGCTGGGACGTCTTAGTGCCGCGTCAAAAAAATGTGCATAAGCGAATGAATTACGTCCTGCTTTACAAAGCCTGGAGCTCACTTCTCTCCACGCCACGCCAATCCAACGAGCTGGACTCGACTTTCTCTTATTCCCAGCTAAATATGGCTCGTCAGCACCCGTAAGCGCTACGCAACGAACTACCTCCAAGGGTTACACACCTAGTCAGCGCTGCGCTATACACCTGCTGCTGTCGGTTACCCAGAAGTCCAACGTCGCCTAGGCACCACACCGCTTGCGTCCCTTAAATCCCCATGTCATCGACCGTATGAGCGCTGATATCGCGTCATCGCGTGCTCTTCAACTTCAAGGCTTCACGTACTGGTATATAATCTCGATGCCATGCAGCTCACGTAGCCGCTCCAACATGGTTGGTTCGTGCGCCAAGCGCGCCAGTGCAATGGCGGCGTTCTTGGACGCCGTGTTGCCGCGCCCTTCGTATGCTACCCCTACCAGCACCGGCACCGGATCCGCATCCCGCAGCAAGGCCAAGTACTCCTTCCGCCGCGCCAGACCCGCCAGGCATAACGCTGCGTTCGCTACCACCAACTCGCCCACTGCGCCGAAGGTGGCCGCCGCCGCCGCCTTGCCGCCCGCCGTCGCCGTCGCCGTTGCCCTCCCTGACGCGAGCTGCACCGTACGCAGCAGCACGGCCACGCCGCCGGCATCCACCAGCTGCTGTGCCGCCAGTGCCGCATCATCCGGGCTGGTGAGGATGGTCAGGATGCGGATAGCGGCGTCAAGATGTGCTGCCAACGCTTCCGAATCCATAGAGTCAGCCGCCGCCGCCGCCTCCAAGCCGTCGAGAGCAGCGCTGACCACTGCCGCCATGTCCGCCACAGCGCCAAGACCAAGCAGCGTCGCGCTACCAGCGGCCGTTTTGGCTGCCCGCGCACACACACCCGCCGCCCTCGCCGCAAGAGCACGATCCGCCGCCGCCGCCGGCACCGCCGCCAGGCGGTGCAGGTTCGCGAGCCCCGCCAAGTCCTCCCCAACCAGCCGCTGTCCTGCCTCGTCCACCGTCAGGTTGAACAGCGCCGTCGCCGCCGCGCGCTGCAGATCCTGGTCCGCTGCCGCTGCTGCGGCGCCGGCTCTGCTTCCGCTGCTGCCATGCGTCACCAGCTCCAGCAGCTGCCGCACGACGCCGCCGTTGGCGGCGAGTATCTCCGTCCTCAGCGCGGCGTCCGTCGCCATGTTGCCCAGTAGCACCGCCACCTTCTCCACCAGTACGGCGTTAGGGCTGCGTAGCAGGCCCAGGAAGCAGCTCGCCGTGGCCGCGTCGCTGCGCCACACGGTCGCCATGGCGGCCTTGGTGGCTCTGTCCACCATGCAGTTGCCCAGCAGCGCCAGCGCCACGCCCTGCCAAAGTGGGAGAGCATTAACCGGCGGATACACACACACACACACACCGGTTCGTGAGCCACGCAAGGCTGGTAGTCCGAACGGTGCTTCGCGCACGGTAGCTGACAACCAGGGCCAGCCACACACACACACATAGAACCGAGGCAATGTCCCACTTTTTTGTGCATAGCAGTAGTCGCATGCACCTTTCCGCACACTACCGCCACACATGCACGTACACCTCGATGTCGAACTGAATTCAGCATCATCCTCTTATCGCTAAAATCCACAAACTCCAAACCCCATTCTACCGCGTTGCCACTAGTTCGCATTGCCCCTTTCCGATACCGCACGTCCTCTGCGCCAGCGCCTTCTTTACCTGCACAGTGGGTTTGGCCCTGCCCAGCAACTCCACAAGGCGCACCAAGCCGGTGCCAGCACCAGCGCCCAACAACCGGGACACCTCCCGCCGTACATCCTCGTTCGTCACCGCGGTACACAACAACGTCACCGCTGCCGCCTCCTCATCCCCTGCGCAAGCGCAACCTGCCGCGTTCCCGCCCAGTGCGGCCACCACCGCCGGCAGCACCTTCAGCGCCGGCAGCTGTTTGAGGTTGCCGTCGTTCATGCACGCATCGTTCAGCAGTAGCAGCAGCGCCGACAGGTCCGCCGACGCCGATGCCGCCGCGCTCGGTGAACCGGGAGCCGGCCGCTTGGCGGTGATCTAAACAGTGTATGCAATGATGTACCAGGGCCATCATCAGTAGCACCACCGTGCCAGGGGCAGCGAGTACGAGTTAAGGCCAGAGAGCGGTGCGTGCCATAGTGGGTACTGCAGGGTGGTGTTCCGGCAAGGTTTACTGGTAGGTAGGTAGGTAGGTAGGTAGGTAGGTAGGTCGAGCGATTGATGGCCGGTGCCAGAACGAGGTGCATAATGATGACAATAGAGGGGCAGAGGAGAGGGCGACTAGGTCTAGCGCCAGCGGACGACCTAGGCCCTGACATTCAGGAGGGGCTCGAGGGCTCGGGGCGTTTTGGACGAGTTTGCGACAGAGCCCATAATCGGTGCACATGCGCGCGCCGCGCTTACCCGCGCGGCGATGTTCTGCAGACCGCCGCACTCCCGCAAGTAAACGCAGCACGCGTCATCGTCGCGCAGCAGCGATCTCATGTCGCTGCAGATGCTGGCCGTGGTTGATGCAGCAGCCGGTCCTTCACTGGCGGTGCTGCTTGGGTTAGGGCCCTGACCCAATGACCCGCCCCCGTTCGCCTGCTGCCGCCGCGGCGGCAACGTGGGCCCTCGCCGAGCCCCTGGTGCCGGCTGCTGACCTGTCTGCAAAGAGGGGAACCCCTCTCTTCCTCCGCTGCTGCCACTGCTGTCGTTGTTGCCGGCCTCTGCCGCCGCGGCTTCGCAGCTAGCCTGATCGCCTCCGGAGCTTGTGATCCCGGTGCCAGTGGCAGTCGCCGCCTCCGGCACCGGCGCTAGCGCCGCTGCCAACCGCTCCAACCGACCCAACTTCTCCAAGTCCAACACGACACCCCCGGCCTCCATCACGCTCGCGCCATCCGACGTTTCCCCCCCGCGCTGTCTCTGCACCACCGCTCCCGCATCCGCGTTGCTGCCGCTGCTGGCGCTACCAGCCGTCCGGCCCACAGCCCTGGCAATGGCCCGTTGCTTTCGCGCCTCCTCGTTCTCCAATCTCGCCTTGGCCAGCTGCTTCTCCACCTCAGTGTTGCCGGGCTCCAGCTCCAGCGCTGACTGCAAGTCCTCTACGGCCCTGCCGGGCTGCTGTAGCGCACGGTAGGCCTCCGCGCGGCGCTGCAGGGCTTTGACGACCAGGGGGTCCCGCCGGTTGTTGTGCAGGAAGTCCGCAATGGAGAGGACCTGGCGGCAGGGGCAGAGGACGTCGGCAGGGGCAGGGGCAAAAAGGGAGCAGAGCGGCAGCAGGCGCCGGCAGGGGTAAAAAGTAAGAAGAGTTGTAATGATATGGTGCGTGGGCGGGAGAGGAATGGAATGGAGGTTCTGTGGCGTCGGGATGGAAAAGTAGTCATAGCTAAGCATTGCGAGCGCAGGGCTTTTGGAAGACGCTTTTTAAGGGGCCGTACATACCTTGTCACAGTGCTCAACCGCCTGCACGAAGCAGTTTATCTTTAGGGCGGCCATCGCGGCATTGGCGTGGAGGGCCATGTTGGTGCGCTCCGACTCAATGCCCTGCTGGTAGCAGCGCAGTGCCTCTGAGTACTGGCGTGCCTTGTAGGCCTCGTTGCCGCGAACACGGCAGCGCTCCGCCAGTTGCCTCCGCTCCACAAGCCTACGTCAGGGCCCCAGGAAGAGTTGGACAGGATGAGTTCGGGAGATGGGAGGAGGAATAGATGGGTAGGCTACAGGCCGCGGTCTGGTCAACAGGCACATACAAGGTGGTTGGCACGAGGTTTGTTTAGTAACCGGTGCGGAGGTTTCGCCAGCCTCCGCTCTTACAATACCGGCGTGGGAGTCTAGCCGGGGACCTGTTTTCAATTAAGAGGCTGAATGCGGGTGTGGGAAGCTGCGAACTCACTGGCGGTGTCGCTCGTCAATATCCTTTTCCATGGCCTTGAACTGCGGGGTGTTGGGGCCGATGGAGTTGATGAGGTCATCCTCCTCGTCCTCTGGACACCAAATGTCCCATTTAGTATAATCGGTACCAAATCGGGTCTTATCCAGGCTTTTGACGTACTCCTCGTAGCGTGCCCTGGCATGTAGCTTGCGCTGTCGGTTTGCCATAAGCTCCTTGACTTTCGCCATCGCGCGCTCGCGACGCTCAGCCTCCGCGTCATGATCATCTTCATCCTCCTTTTTTGGAGACTGGAGCGCCTCAGGTCCAGCAGGCGTCGGGCCGCGGCCCGCGGTGTGCTTCTTCACGAACTCTTGCCTTTCACGTTCCTTTTTTTCTTTCTGTTTCTGTTTGCTATCAATATAATCAGGGCTTACAGTTCCAGCCTTAAGACCCTCAATAAGCCTGTGCACTTCATCAACCTTTTCAATGAACTCTTCTGCATCCTCAGCAGAGTCCATAAGGGTAGGACCTGCCATTTCTCTTCACTCCATTAGGAGACCGCATCGTTTGCATACTGCATTCAAGTCTGTCGGTCAAAGTTTCTGGAACTAGCACACCGTACGCTTGGGTACGGCTCCATGATTACTCAGCCCAATGGTTCAATACTTGAGATACAATTCTTCATGCAAAGAGCTTTGATAAAATTGCTGCGAAATTCATTAACATGTTGCTTAGATCCGCCGTGACGTCAGTGCATGTTTGGAAGGGGCTGGACTCTAACGGCTGTAACGGCCTGCGCCATATGTGCGCACCCGGCCATGGACGTACGACGGTCCACCTGCTGCGTGCGCGGAGACCATCGAGAGTCGCTTCTGACCTAATCGCCTTGGTGCATTGCTCGCCAGCCTGCCCATCGCTTGTGCCTCCTGACGGTGAAACAGAAACTAACAGAACCCTACATGCCACTGATTACATAAGCATTTCCATTAAATACACATTCATATCGTTAAATTTGGTGTTTTCGTCTTGTTCGCTGACTACTACATGTTGAACACCATGGATTTAAACCTGGGATATATCAGCAGTATCGGCTGTGTCGGAATTGTCGGAATTGTCTTCTTCATCCCAGACTCCGATCTTGTGTGAGACGTATCCCATTTCATGGGGGATGGTGTAGTCTCCCACCCCACGAGGCCCCCAGCTTGTCCCCGCATGTGACAGGTGGGTGCAGTGGCGCATAGCCGTCTCATCGGTACGGCTGAATGAATCAACGATGTATGCTTCTTCACACCAGTCGTTCGGTCCCCATTACATTCGCTGCTGACTGCATACACCACAAGCTCCCGCCTGCTCCCGCGTTGCAGAAAGTGCTCCAAAATGTTGCATGCACATAGCAATCGGCACGTACATGTGATATTACCAACGTGGCCTAGCTGAGGAATTATCCTGACTTGTATGAGGAGCGATAAGAGTGGGCCCATGACGTACAGCTGTCGCGAGCTTGCGCCTGCTTGCGCCCCAGTCCGTGGCCTACGAGATTTCGACCTCCCTGCGACCTACCTTATAGAGCCAGAGACGTGCTCCCTTCCAGCTCAGTTTTGGCATAACGTTGAACCTGTTCCGCACATTTGGAAACACTTCGGTTGGGGTGGGAAGTTACAACGTTGTCGTACACCTTGCTTCTTTTCACCAAAAATCTTGTGCTCCCACATTTAGGCGCTTAGTAGCCCAGGTGTCTGCACGTAAAAGGGCAGTTGTTCCACCGGCAATTTGCCAGGTTCGCCATACCGCTGAAAGAATGTATGGGCTCGAAATGATGACCTTTAATATAAAGGACGGCTTCCTAGGTATGGATTGCTTTCAAATTGCGTATGAGTGGCATCACTCGTCCAGCGGTCAGAGCTGAAAGGATGGTCTTGTTCTGCTTCTGCAGAAGCTATCGTCCGCGGGCATCGGTCGGGCTTGCTTACCGTAGGTGATTACAACAACCTTTCACAATGCGAGACTCTTGAGGACATCAAGATGAATCTGGTGGGCACAGCAGACGTCAATCATCATCATCTTGGCTGGGTCTAATAGTGTACACCTTAGTTTACCTCAACTGGCCGTGACACGCAGACCTCGACAGACTATGGAGCGTATATTGCGAACGAGGCGTCGCCTATCTACACAGCCAACATTGTAGAGAAGTGTACACAGAAGCTAGTGAACGACTGGAATTACATGCGATCACAGGTGCGGTATAGACTTGAGTACGTAGTGATGTTATCTGGACCAGACACAGTAGCGAGGAACGTTGGTTGCAGGCGGACGAGAACCTTGCGACGTTCATGGACTACTGCACCTATGGTCACATGATCGATAACGTGGTGCTGATCGTTACGGGCACTCTCCACGAGCGTGACGTGCAGGTAGGAATCCATGGGGAGCCCGCCATGGGCTATCAGAGCTCAGGTACTCAGGTATGACCCGGGGGCCCCTCTTACACCGGTACGGTGTGGGAGGACCTGACCAAAGCATTGGCAAATATTAAACTGAGCATGAGCCATGCAGGGCTGTTCAACAGCCTTGTGGGTGTAGGTGGCACATTTGAAGCCGCTCTTTTCGGGGCCGGTGGGGTAAGTCTCACGGCTCCTTGCGATGGCTTCACTGGAGCAGTGCGGAATAACACCCATGGCCCCGTTGCCAGCTGGACCCCGTGGCCTGTGCCATGCTCTTGATGCTGGTTGCCTGCAACAGACCCTGCAAACGAGAGCATTATTGGGGTCAGCAACAAATCGACACAGAGCAGGTCGCTCTGCTTGGTACGAAAGCCTGCGTCTCGCAGGATTTTCGAACAACGCGCCTTCAAAGGTTGAATAGGGACTTCTGACCATGTCAGAGCCACGTCTCTGGCACTGGTCCTACCAACTGCTCCCTTAACATCCGTCCTCGAGGAGCGATTGCCCAGGCCCGGGGCTTGCTTGCGGAGGGCAACGCGGCAGTCGAAATATGAGCCCTTTGGTGATGCTGTTCGCGGTGTTCGCTTCTCGGGTTTGGACGCATCCCGAAACCTCACGGGCGGCCCTCAGAGCGAACCGGATTTGGGAAAAACGACCTCCTCAGCTAGGAAAAACGACCTCCTCAGCTAGGAAAAACGACCCCCATGGCAATGCTCGCTTTGTCTTTCCAACTCCGCATCACACAGCTGCGTCAATCACGTGCAGGAGCTGCTGGACAAGTGCCACCCTCTCGGCATGTTCGACTCGATTGCGACGCTGGCAGTGGCTCAGAACATGCGCGAGCTATACAGGCTGGTGCTAGTGGACACGCCGCTCGCACCATACTTTAGCGAAAACCTGACGCACGAGGACCTGGACGAGATGAACATTGAGATTATGCGAAACACGCTGTATAAGGCCTACCTGGACGACTTTGCAGCCTTCTGCCAGACGCTGGGCGGCACGACGGCGGAGATCATGGGCGATATGCTGGCCTTCGAGGTGCGTACCCTGAGCCTCCTGCCTGGGGCAGGCGAGGGGGACAGCCAGGCTGAGGGGCTTACTGAATACGGTGGGCGTAGGAAGGGGGATTGAAAAATTTATGAAGGGGAGTTATGTCAAAGCCGGATGCTAAGGCGACTGCCAAATGCGGAAACAGCTGACTGAAATATAAATCCTTCTCTATGAGGGAATATTTATTCAATAGATTTGGGTTTGGTCTGAAATGTGTTTTTTGCTGTCCACGTGTGCGTGTGCGTTGGCCCCTTGCGTACCAGACTGACCGGCGTGCTCTGAACATCACGCTCAACTCCATCGGCACTGAGCTGACCCGGGAGGACAGGAAGAAGCTGTACTCCAACTTTGGTTTGCTCTACCCTCATGGCCACAACGAGCTGGCCATTGCGGAGGACTTTGACCAGATCCGCAGCGCCATGGAAAAGGTGCCCGCTTACTCCGGAATCTTCAGCAAGGTGAGAGGCGCAGGCAGTTACTGGAAGCTTCCCGCTACCCCGGCGCTGCTGGGTGTCACATGGTAATGCAAATGGAGACTCGTTGCATGATGCCGGGGGCCGCGGTGAAACACCCCTTGCCACAATGGGGAAGTAATATCCAGCTTTCAAGACCTGCGCAGCCTGCGGCAGGATCTTGATTCTTCGGCTTTTTTGTTCTGCGGTTCTTGCGATTCTATGGTCGCACAGCAGGAAGGGCTGCGCAGGTGGAGACAAAGTTGTGTGCATGGCGTGGCAGGTTGGACTTCTTTCCAACCACGAGATTAGACCGGCGTTCTAGTTTCTGTGAAGCTGCATGTCTCATTACGTGGGCCAAAAACGCTACGATCACCAGGCACAGTTTAACAAAAAAATCATTTCTTTTTGTGTTTCTTCAAGGATGTCCAAAGTCAACGCAACATAAACCGTCGGTGCAGGGAATGATTATGTCGTTTGTAAACCCCCCTGACTTTGTCGGCTTTCCCTTCTCGCAGCTCGGGTATGGTGAGAGCCAGATGCTGGACAAGCTGCTTTACGAGGAGGAGGTCAAGAAGTGTGTGGATTGCTACGAGCAGCAGTTCCATTACGGCGTCTTCTATTCCTACATGAAGCTGCGGGAGCAGGAGATCCGCAACATCATGTGGATTAGCGAGTGCGTGGCGCAGGACCAGAAGGGGCGCATTTCGGACGGCATCGTGTACATCTTCTGAGCTACGGATGCATTTAGCTTGCTTGTCCTTCCACTTGCACACGGTAGCACAGCGCACGGCGTAGTGCACGGTAACACAGCGCACTTCCTGCAGGGCACAGGATGTGCAGCCTCCATGCAGTGTTCGTTTCGGGGCATGTAGGGGCTTCGTTACAGTCATTGGGCCATGGTTGCGAGAGCCTTCAGCTGCACCTGGCGGCGCCTTGACTGCCGGTTGCAGTCACGCTGTTGTGAAATGAGAGTCTGATAGAGGGCAGGGGAGGCGAGCGGGGTCGACCGCGTTGCGGGGATGGTGCGGTTGGAGGCGGCGGGCGGGAGTAGGGAGGCGTATGGCATGCAGGAATTTTTTTACGGCGTGGAGGTAAAAGCGGTAATGCGTCTGGGCTTTGGGTATAATGTGGTGATGCTTGATTTTTTGCGTAAGTCCGTGCGCTGATTGTACTAGGTGTGTATGCTGCCGTAGCGCAGATACGTCCTTGTGGAAATGCAGCCTTATCCTAGGTCAGAGTGCATGCTGGCGGGGGAAGAGGGGCTACCACAATGCAATGATTACAGAGGAGCGGCCTTAACGTGGTGTGGCTTTCAGTGCCAGAGGCTGTGCGCGTGATGCAGCTCTTTGACAGATGCGGGCACGTCGCACGGAGTGTACACCTTAACGAGTTTCGGGAGGCTAGGTTGGGATGATGAGTTGCTCCTAGGGACAACTTGCGTTGCGGTGTTTTCAACAGGACATGTGAGTGCCGTTGCTTGTGGATGAGGAGTCCTGGAGTCGCTGGTACGGGTGATGACCCTGTAATCAAATGCGGCGCATGCAGCACCGGATACACACGACAACTCGCGGCACAGAAAGTGACAGAGGGTTTCTACGGCGGGCATCACAGGGTGGATGGGGTACAGCTAGCCACAAGTACTTAAGACTCGTACCTTCGAAACGCGATTTGTTGATTCGCACGTCCTTTTGCAACACTTCGCTTCCGTCCACGGTGCAATGCAGCCAGGGGGTGATGCCGTATAAACATTCAAACAGACCAACCATGCGCTGTACGGTGTAGGAATTGAGAGAGGCCTAGACTGGCGGGAGGGGGAGACTGGGGTGGCGGTGGGATCATTAGCAAAAAGCCTAGAAAGATTGAGCTTCAAAAGGGTCCAAAAGCACCAACTCTTTTTATGTGTGTGGGGGGCCCGGGAGGTGTATAGGGCAGAGGAGGTGGACAAGTGCCCCTCTCTACCTACCTGCCTACCAGTCGACACTTCATTCCTTCGCAACGCTTCGGCCAGTGGACGGCATCACAGAGGCAGACATCTTTGGGGCGCTGGGCTGCCGTACAGGGAGCCTGAGGATCGGCAGTGCCCGTGAATAACAAGAGAACGGGAAGGAAAAGGGTGGACGGGTCGTGGTGAAGAGAGGGGCTGGGAAGCGGGAACTTTAGGGTTGAATTTAGGAGACTGGGAGCTTGGGGCTCTGGGTGCGTGTGAAATTGGGTCTTTTTGAAGCGTCTTTGGATGCAATAATGACAAGGGGGACACGGGGGCCAGGAAACCAACCCTCATCGCTAGCCGAACATGGCAGCGGCTGTGGACCAGCCTACCCCATATGCGTGCCCTACATGCAGCAGGGTTCCACGCCGACCGAACTCAAGCTTCAATGGTCCTTGCGGTCCGTCGTCAAGCTTCAATGGTCCTTGCGGTCGTTATAAGTAGTCACTGGTGACGGTGCTTATTGTTTCCTCACAATAAGTATTCCATTTTGATGATGCGAGGAAAGGAGGTTGTGTGGGTGTTCATAACGGCGGAGAGCTGACGGAAAAAGGCCGACCTGGAACGGAAACGGGCTGTCGCTAGACCAGCAATAGACGCTTTTGAAGCTTGATGGCCCCCCTTAATGAAAGCGTTCTTGTTGACCTATACTTTGGATCATTAGCCCGTTCCCTTGTTCAAGGAAATCGGGATTCAGGAACAAGTAGTTCACTTGGCGCTAACCGACAACCGTCAGGCGATAAAGTGAACCATGCGACCACCGTGGCACATCGCAATGTATTGGAGCATGAATATAATAGTTTGAATCTATTATTGGTGTTTTATAGCGCAGTTGTTGCTGACAGTAGGCATCGTGCTATCCTTGCAGTCATAGGGCGATTCTATGGCGTTGCAAAGGCGACCTTGTACGATGGGCACTAGCCCAAGCCATGCCCACAGAGCTCTAGCATCTGTGCGACGAGCGCGCCTGGTAGTGGCAGCCGCGGCAAGGACAACGACCAAAACAGCGAATGGGAAGCTTTCTGTGCTGGAGGTAAGCCGGAGCGCGCGCCGGGCTGCAAAGCTGCAACCCTAGCCTTAATTACTATGACTGAGTTCAGGCAGCCTGATGGTAGCTTTACTATAGCAATCCTCGGACACCTTGCAACCACGCAAAACGGTCACATCGTGTCCGAAATATGCATTCGATGGCGCTGATGCATCGATGAATTCGCATTACATGTGCAATAATATTGTTTAAGCGCTTTGCTTTTCCGTCCAGCTCCATGACTTTAATCCTAATCACCCTGTCCTTGGCCACAGAACCCCGGAGCAACGACATGGGCCTCGCGACGCCCTTCTCCTCCTCCTCCCGACGCTTCACAGGCCTCATATCATCCACCTAATAAACCCTCTCATCCCCCATTCAAACTAAACACAATAACCTTTTTAAGGAACACATCACTCCTTCCGATCATCACCTGAATTGCGTGCGTAACACGACAGCCTCACTCCCCTAATCCCAGCACCCCCTGATAAACCCGAAGCTCCTACACTTGCCCACCCACACCTACATACCTACATACCTAGCTACACATTGAGATTAAAAGCTCACCATGTTTTGCATACATGTTCGCAACCCCCCTCACGTTCTCAACGCCCGCAGCGACAGCAGGCGGAACAGGCTGTCCTCACCGCACTCAACGGCGCTCGCGGCCGCGGCAAGGAAGGCCTCAGCCCAGACCAGTTGGATGAACTCAACCGGGCAGTGGAGGTGCTGGAAGCCGACGGTGGTGTGGCCGACCCCACCACCCAGCCCTCCCTGGACGGCCGCTGGCGGCTGCTGTACACCTCCCGCCCCGGCTCTGCCTCCCCCATCCAGCGCACGTTCACGGGTGTGGAGGCCTTCAGTATCTTCCAGGAGGTCCAACTGACGTTGAGGGGCCCCGAGGCGGCGGCTGAGGACGGGGGGGAGGAGCAGGAGGAGGAGGAGGAGGGTCCCCGGGTGAACAACGTGGTCGAGTTCGGCAGCCTGGGCTTCCTCAGGGTGCGAAGAGCGGGGTGCATCCGGGTCGGGTCGGGATGGAGAAGGGAAGAGCCCAAGAAACCGGCGGGTGGGGGCCCAGCCCCGGAAGAGTGGATTGGGAAGGGATGTGTCTCATTGCGGTGCGAGATTTGTGGAAGAGGAAGAAAGATAAATGAGGTCTGTAGCGACATGCGCCTTGGGGGTGAGTTCCCCCTTCTCTTGTTCTCTTCCTCTCTCTTCCTCTCTCTTCCTCTCTCTTCCTCTCTCTCTCTCTCTCTCTCTCTCTCTTTCTCTCTTCTTCTCTTCCTCTCTTCCTCTCTTCCTCTCTTCCTCTCTTCCTCTCTTCCTCTCTTCCTCTCTTCCTCTCTTCCTCTCTTCCTCTCTTCCTCTCTTCCTCTCTTCCTCTCTTCCTCTCTTCCTCTCTTCCTCTCTTCCTCTCTTCCTCTCTTCCTCTCTTCCTCTCTCTCTCTCTCTCTCTCTCTCTCTTTCTCTCTCTTTCTCTCTCTCTCTTCCTTTCTCCAGCAGTCCCCGGCAACCCGGGCTTCATCCCTTCTCCGCAACCTGTGATAATCGAAGGTTTCCTCGTTTCCCCGAACCGTGTCATTGGTAATCCAACCCCACCGCACACCACCCCCTGTACCCCTCCTTACCGGCGCGCCCACCTCCTCCTCTCCCCCTCCACCACCTCCATACAACCCCCAGGTCGAGGCTCAGGCCAGTACGGACACCCGCCCATTGGTGGGTTTCACCCCGCGCCCAGGCGAGGGGCTGCCGCTGTTCGGCAAGTCCTTCACCTACCCACCGATACGGCCCAACAGCCGCATAGACTTCCAGTTCGATCGAGCCGCCTTCACCTTCCGCTTCCTACCCTTCAAGCTGCCCTACCCGGTGCCCTTCAAGCTCCTGGGAGATGAACGCAAGGTACGGAGAGGAGAGCCCCGAGGGCAACCTGTATGCACGTATATATCTCTGCATGCCTGCGTGTATGCATGTATGTATGTGTGCGTGCTTGGGTGTGTAAGCCCCGCTGTGCTGCCGTCTGTACGTCTGTCTGATCACCGGACGCGTTGTGGCCGCTAGCTCAGAGGCGTCCGGTCTGGTCCGGGGCAAACAGCCCTTTTCCTCGGCCCCGGCGCTCATACACCCCCCCCCTGGACCTTCTCCCCCGGCTTCCCTTCCTCCCGCCTTCCCGGCTGTGGACAGTTAGGCTTTGCATAAGCCCCCCTCCTCCCTCCCTGGACTCCTTCCCTCCCCCGTCCTTGGTCTCAGGGTTGGCTAGACGTGACGTACATGAACACGGACGGCACCTTCCGGTTGAGCCGGGGCAACAAGGGCACCTTGTTCGTACTGGTGAAGGTGAGACAGCGGGAAGGTGGAGGGGGGGGAACCGCCGCTACAGGGGAAGAGGGGGAAGGTGAGGAGGAGGCCAGGGAGGCCGACCACATCCGCCACCACATCTCCCGACCCTGGGTCATTCCTCTCCTTTTCCTTTCTTATAACCCCCCAGCTAACATTCCCCATCCTCTCCGACCGCTCCGCTTCCCTCCCCTCCACCCCAAAACCCTTGGGCCCTTTCCCCCCGCCCCTCCTCCTCCTCAGGACGTTCCCATCAAGCAGCGCCTTATGGAGGCCATATCCCGCGGAGATGACGAGCTGGTGGGAATCCAGGGAGGGCAATGATATATAAGGCTTACACCCCATACCCTATTTCCTTAACCCACCCGCGGGGCTGCGGTGGGGTGTGGGAGTTCGGGAGGTGGGGAGGGAGCACAGCCGGGTTGGGGACGATGCAAGGATGAGGGGTCAACTGCTGTCTGACGCCCTAAGCGGGGTTGGCGGTTGGCGGTTGAGGTTTGGTTTTGTTCGGAGAAGGGCCGATACCGCAGTGGTAACCCCCATTATGTAGCGGCGGTAGCTGCGATATGGGGATTTGGGTAAGTCCAGTCTCAGCGCGGAAATAGCTCTTCCAGGGTACCTAGGAGGACTGGGGAGGAGGAGGAGGAGGAGGAGGAGGAGGAGGAGGGGAGGGAGACCACCAGCCACTACTACCACTTCGTTCGCCTTGGGTGTAATGGCTCTCCCATGGAGAGGGTGGCGGGTGGCGAGTGGCGGGGTGGCGGGTGGCGGGGTGGCGGGTGGCGGGTGGCGGGGTGGCGGGGTGGCGGGGTGGCGGGTGGCGGGGTGGCGGGGTGGCGGGGTGGCGGGGTGATGTGTGTGGAATGCAAAGGATGTCATTTTTGCCATTGAAGCGGGCGATCCGGGGAGCGAGACAGACCTTCTGCGGCACGTGCCAATCTGGGTTCCCCGTGTCACGATTCCCGTGCAGCCCCGCGTGCTTTCCTCCCGCCCTCCCTCCCTCGTTTCCCACCCCAGCTGGTTCCCCTCTTCAACTGTCTCTCCCGTCTGGCGATTGGCGTAACCGACCCGATAACCCTTTCCGCCTCCTCCCCCTCCACGCCATCCCGCCGTACATCCTTCCCTTCCTCGTCCGGTCCTTGTTCTTCACCTCCTCATCCCCCGCCCCCTGCCCCCTTACTACATGCGATACTTTTTGCCGTCCGGCCTCTACGCAAATGCTGATCCAGCTCGCCTTCCTCCCCATCCACGAAAAATAGGCTAATCCCCCGAATGCTCCCTTCACGCCCCGCTCGAGGTACAGGTGCTTGCGCTGGTGGGCCTTATGGAGCAGGACAACCCCACCCCCGCACCCGCCCGCAGCGCCTTGGCATCGGGCCGCTGGCGATTGGTGTGGTCACAGCAGGCGGAGACAGCCTCGGCGCTTCAGAAGTGGGGCAGTGGCCAGGCGGAGAGCTTTCAGGAGATTGACGGCGAGACGGGGAGCGCGGCGAACGTAGTGCAGCTGAGCAGCTGGGCACAGGTGCGGGCCAATGCACGAGTGGAGGCGTCGTCGGACAGCCGTACGGCAGTGGACATTCAGGACGCGGGGGTGAGTGTGCTGGGAATGGGAGGTTTGGGGGGTTTGGGGGGTTTGGGGCCAGGTCGTCCAGGTGAGCCCTGGGGTGCTTGTGGGCGCGGGACGGAGAGGGTAGCTGTCGGGGAGGTGTCGGGCGAGAGCCTAAGAAGAAAGGTCTGTGTGTGGGACGTAAGGTGAGTGCTATAGGGATTTTGACATGGGTAGTTTACTGGTTGATTATCGTGTGCTTGCTCTATGGGGACTCAGGCGAACCCTGGACTTGGGGACTACCCTTTTGCCCTTGCAGTTATACTTGGGACCTTTGAAGCTGCCAGTGCCAGCAGGGGGACGAAAAGGCGATACGCCAGGTTATATTGACTGGCTGTATCTGGACGAGGACTTGCGGATTACGCGGGGCTCTAAAGGAAGCCTGTTCATCCATCGGCGAGAAGCTTGAGTGAACCTTCGCTTACCCAGGGCAGTCTTCTTTGTGTTGATTGTTAGGTATTGATGAGATTTTTTCCACCATCGGCGAGCTGACAAGGCGGTCATGAGCTCGTCCTTGAATGTACGTCTGCGTAGCGGGTTTTTGCGGTAGAATCTACCGCGACTACTTGTACAGTATTATTTCAACGTATGAAAGCTTACTCAAGCTTGTCTCTCAAGCTTGTGCGTTCTGTAACGAGGCCCTATTGGATTATCGATGGCATAGGCAAGAATGGACGCGTTTTGATCAACTGTTTGAGGGTTACCGGCATATAAAAACCGTCTATCCTCCGGAAGCGCTGGCGGTAGAAGCCTGTGTGGCCTGATTGTAAGCTACCAAAGCGGCGATTGGGCGCCATACATGAAGCATTTAGGCGCTGATGGGAGGGTGCCTGTCAAATGAAAGCAAAGAAGCGCGGCCTGCCTCACAGCCGGCACCTGCTTCTACGGGGCTAGTAGGCCCATTACCGCAGCAGTCGCAAGAACCTACGAAGCCAGCAGCATCACACCAACAATTGACAAGCAATAGCGGCCACAGAGATGAAACAACAACAGCTGGAGCTCCAGCAGTCGCTGTCCGCGATTGCGACGGCCGCGGTTCTCCGTTCCGCGTCGCCGAGTTGCCGCCAGATGCAAAACCCACAGAGGAGCCCTCAGGGCCCGTATCTCTACCAGCTTCTGGACCCGTGCCAGGTACCCCTGGCGGCGCTTGCGGCGATCCCCCGCCAGACACCCCGGGGCAACCACCTCAACAATCTCAGTCTCACCAGGCCGCGGATGGGGCGGCAGACAACGACGTTTCCCTCCGGACGCTAGCCGCCGGCGGCACGCTGCTCGCCCCACCCGTCGCCGCTTCCCGTGACAGCACCATTCCCGCCGCCACCACCGACCCCTCCCGCCCAGTCCCCACCGCCGCGCTCGTCCACGCCGTGAACAGCTCCGAAACTGGCAGCTTCCAGAACCCAGACGGCAGCTCTTTGACTCCCTCCAATGTGCAGCCCTCGGGCTTTCAATGCATGCCCGCCTCGATCCTGGCCAAGGAGGTGGCTCAGCTGTCTTGGGTGGGACATGGAGGTGGGTGCAACTGCATGCCCGGGGCAGGGGTGCTTGGGGTGATTACTTACCTCGTCTAAATTCTAACTGTAAAGACGCATTACCTACCAGCCTACTCCTTCCCGCGATCCGCGCTGCTGAAGCGCGGGGTCGCGGTTGATGGGTTTTTGGTGACTTTATCTATATCGGTGGGGTGCGTATGTGGTAATGGGTGGGTGGGTGGTGCACGCGAGGACGAGCAGGGGATGTTGATGATGGTGATGATGGTGATGGTGGTGAGGGCGACGGCTCATTCTGACCATCACAAGGGGTGATGTGGGCCTTCTCGGATTTCAAGCATTGGCTGACTGTAAAATGCGGCGGGGCTGTGGAGGGGCGTACGGCGTAGGTAGGGCTTTGCATACCGCAGCGCGCGAAGGAGAAACGAGCGAAAATGGGGTTGGGGATTGGGAGGACGGTGTGTCTGAAATAGCACAGTTTGCTACCCTGGCTGGCTGGATGCCTAGCTGGCTGGCTGGCTGGCTGGGCAAGCGGGTGTCCTGGGTGTTGGGTAGTTCAAGGAGAGGAAGGAGTGATCGTCCGGGTGGGGGGCCTGGGACAGGAATCAAATGGCCCAGACGGTTGCCTTGAACAGCTTCCGTCGTTCGTCGCTCATATCTGAGGTGGACATGCTGTATGACAGCTATGTGGGGCTGTACGGGTTCCTTTGCTGGCACTGGACCGGGGCAGGACCGGATGGGCAGGTCTTGGCGACGGAAAGGATGTGGAGTGTTGTGTGTGTATGTATGTATGTGTGTGTGCTTTGCTCTGCTACAGCGGGCCCCCGGGGAACGTCGAGCTGACGCGATGGGAGGGGTACTGGCCGGCAGCCGGCAGCTGCTATCGTGACGTAGCTCTGTGCCGCCCTCTGTCTATGAGGGGGGAGGGGGGAAGGGGATCCTCCAATGGCTGTCAGCCAGCAGTGGGTGGTCAGCGCTGAATGGGACTGACTGCATCCAGCGGGCCGGTCTCGCCCGGCATTGGGACGCGGCGGGAATGAAACACCCATGTTTGCAGCACACACCCCTTCCTGCGGGACCTCGTCACACAACCCTTCTTCCCTCCCCCGCCTTACATACAATTCCCCCCAACCCGCCCCGGCCCCGCCCCCGCCCCCGCCCCCGCCCCAGCGAGCCCGGGCAGCTGGTTGGTACCTCAGACCCCGGCAGTTGCTTTTGCATTTTGCATTATCAACACGTGATCGACATTATCGCCACTGCCATGTAAGTCCCCCCCGAATCCCCTGACACCACCCCCCCGCGGCCCCCGCTATCTCTCGTAGGCTATGGTGCTGTGTACAAGGGTGTGTGGCAGGGCGCCAACGTGGCGGTCAAGTTCACTGTGGCCGATTACATGGACTTCGCGGGGGCCTCAGCGCACGAGGCGGTGCTGTCCAAGATGCTCTCGCACCCCAACGTGGTGCAGGTGGGGGGGTTTGGGGGGATGGGAGATTTGTGGCACGTCGTGCGTGGTGTGTATGCCGTGTATGGCTGGATGTGTGTTTTGGTAATCCGGCACCCGGCCCAATGTGGTTCCACTCACTCTCCTGTCCCTCCCTCCCCCCCTTGCTTCGTCCCTACCCCACCCCTATCCTACCCCACCCCTATCCTACCCCACCCCTATCCTACCCCACCCCCAACCCTTCCACTCGCAAAACCATTTCGGTGAACATGTCCACGCAGTTGAGGTCCTTGCTTTTTGGACTCTTCATCTGCGTCTTCGTCTGCGTCGTTCGGACGGCGGCGGATGTTTCCCCTCTGGACTCCGCCTGATCTGTATCACCCCCACAACCCCCCAAGAATCTGTTACATTCTGCTTACACAGTGCTGATCCCTACCTTCCACATGTACCCTTTCCATGCACCCCATGCACCGCCTCCCCCAAACAGACGTTTGCCAGCCGCGTGGCGCTGCTAGATGAGGAGTTCCTTCGCTCCGTGTTCGACGGGGAGACCAACTTCCCGTCCCGAGAGCTGCCCGTGGACAGCTTCCGTTCGGGGGAAGGGTTTGGCAGCCCGTACGGCGTCAACACCTCCATGAAGTTTCGTGACGTACTGACCCACATCGGCGCGCGACCCGGACACTATATTACACAGATGATTATGGAGGTAGGCCAGGAAAAGGGGGCCGTGTATACGTGTGTGTGTTTTGGAGAAGGGGGAGGTGTAGATAGGGGTTGGTTGGGAGACGGCGGGATGTGATCTGGCATATGTGTCTGTCTACCTGTCTGTCTGTCTGCGGAGCTTTTGGGGAGGACAGTTCCCTTTTCCTGCTGCCCCCTCTCTCCACCCCCCAGCCCCCTGTACCCCGCCTTTCCCCCCGCTCCTCCCCACCCGGCCCCCGGGGAGCTCCCGCATGTCCGCCCCAAACCCTACCCTTCGGGAGGTGTCGTACTCCTTCCTAAGGTCTTTCCCCCTAACGTCCTTCCACGAACTGTCTCTCATCCCCGTCGCCCCTCCGTTTCCCCGCCACCCCCCGGGGCCCCCCCACACACAAATGCACACGCACACGCGAACGCGAAGTATTGCGATCGCGGCTCCCTCCACCAAGCCATCGCCAAGGGCCTCTTCAAAAGCAGCTCCAAATGGAACAACAAGATCGCGCTTCGAGCCCTGCTGCGAACAGCAAGGGAGATAGCTCAGGGCATGAGCCACCTGCATACGTGTCGGGTGGTGCATGGCGACTTGAAGCCGGGCAATGTGCTGCTGATGAGCAGCCGGGCCGACCGGCGGGGCTTCACCGCCAAGGTGTCTGATTTCGGCCTATCCACCTACTGCATGGCGTCACACACGAGCGTGACCCGGTGGAGCACAGTCAGCTACATGGCACCGGAGGTGGGTGGGTGGGTGGGGTGGGTGGGAGTGAACGAGAGTGTGTGTGTGTGTGCGTGTCTTAATGACCTGAGCCGCGTGTGTATGTGTGAGTGTGTGTGTGTGGGGGGGGTATATGTAGGTGAATGAGTGTTTGGGAGCCATTGGCAAGACGCAACGATTGGGGATGGATTTTCGGATTTCTTTTGTTGCGTGGCCTGAGTGTTGTGTGTTGTAGGGTTTTGTTTTGGTAGGGGACGCAGTGAGAGAGCTGTTTTCAAGGTTTCTCTCTGGTCAGCCCCCTGCGCCGGTGCAGGTCACCCCCTCTCCTCCCTTCACCCGCTTACCCGCGGGGGAACATTTCCCCGTCACACTCTCCTATTGTGTGTGTATGTGTGTATGCGTTATGCTGTACGGCAGGCGTTTGAGGGGCACCTGACCATGGGCTCTGACACCTTCAGCTTCGGAGTGCTGCTGTGGGAGATGTACACCGGTATGTACGTGCGTGAGCTCGCATCGGCGGCTGAGTGGCCATTACTGCTTTACATTCAAAAACGCCTAGCTACCAATATCAGATAACAAATCAAAGCCCGAACGTCTAACCGGATGACGAAAGTGAAGGACGACGAAGATCGAATATGACAAGCAGTGGGAGCGACGAGGCGTGCTCTATCATTGGCTAAGCCGCGGGAAGGAAATCTGCTGAGGTTGGCAAACAAACCGAAGTGACGAGCAACAACACTTTACCCCCAAACCTGTGTATTGGTGTGTATCTGTGTCGGCCGATATGTGTCTTACGACCCCCTTCCTCCCCTCGCTCGTTCATGGCTTGTCTTCCCTCTCCTCCCCTCTCACCGTCCCCCCCCGCCCCACTCTCTTGCCCTGGCAGCAGCTTCAATCGTGTGTGGTTCGTCTTCCCCCCCCTCCCCCCGCCGCACCCACCAACAGGCCACCAGCCGTACTCCGGCCTCCAGGCAGCTCAGATCGTGATGGGCGTCCAGGCGGGTCAGCTCTCCCTGGAGTGGCCCCCGGACAGCGACCCGCGCATAGTGGACCTGGTGGAGGGCTGCATACAGCGGAACCCCGCAGCGCGACCCACTTTCAACCAGCTCATATCCCAGCTGACCTCCCTGGAGGCTCTCATCCGGCTGGAGGCGCCGCCGTCGGATGGGGCAAGTGAGGCCAAGATGCCGCTGCTCCAGGGGAGTGCAGGCTCGGGGATGTCGTACCAGTCGCCGACACAGCCGGGGCCGGCGGCGGTGCTGGCGGCGGAGCCGCCGGCGCCGCAGACCAAGACGCAGCCAGGTGCGGAGCTGGCGGCGGCGGGGGTGCTGGCGAGGGGGCTAGAGCCTCCGCCGTTGACGCCGGAAGAGGCAGCGGCGCTGGCGTTTGGGACGATGGAGATACCGATGTTGGTGCCGCCGCCGCTGCCGCCGGAGGAGGAGGCGGAGGTAATGGCGGCTGCCGCCGCTGCCGCCAGTGCCGCTGCCGCGTCGCCTTCGGACCACGTCGTGGCCCCCAATGGCCATGGAGCGGCAGGTGTGGAGCATGTGCGTGTGGCAGTCTGAGGATCTGGTACGGAAGGTACGGGTGGCTAGGACCGGCTTATCACGGATTCCATGGTTTGATTGGGCAGCGTTAAAAGAGGCCTCGCAGATGTCCGGCACGGGAGGGTCTGGCCTGACTACTACGCGGTAACGCGCGATGTGGAGGAGGGGAGGGCGCCATGCGTGTATGCAGGCAGGCAGGACAGGGCGGTGAGGGCCCGCAGCAGCACCAGCGGCAGCGTCGGCGGCGGCGGCGGAATATCCTTGTCGGTCTGCTAGGGGGAAAGGGTGGACTTGCATATGGTCTGTGTACTTGCAGGCCGATTGGCAGCATGGAACAGGAGCAGGGGAGGAGGACCCTTTACGGCGTGGCGCCGCTCGCGTACGGAGGGGGTCTCGGCCGGGGCGGCGGCGGAGTGGGGCCCCTTGGGTGGTATCGAGGGGTGTGCCGAGGGGGGCGGGGCGGAGATGGGTGTGGAAGGTGGGGATGGGTTCAGGGCTGGGGTAAAGTGAACTACGACCTGGTAGATCCGTGAAATCGCTGTACATGCTCGAAGTTATGTACGCATGCGGTGTAGTCGGGTCGGTCTGCTTGGGTCGGTAGGAGGGTAGCGGGTCGGGTGAGGTGGACAGATTTACATACGTGCATATGTGCGGTATGTGGGGGGGGCCCTGGGAGAAAGCAAATGGTTACGGAGCGAGCGGCAGGGCTCCGAGGTGGGGGCGGTTGTGGGCGCGTATCTGGATGCGATGGAGGGCTTCACTCCTCCAATCCCCAGTCCTATTAGGTGGGCAGGAGCGGCCTGCCGACCGCCGTTGCCGCCGCCGCCACCATCGGCGTCGTCGTGGTGTGCTGTCCAGCCTTCTACGATTGTGCTAGCGTGTTGCAGCAGACGAGTACGGAAACGAGACGAAGCGGCCCCAAGGCATGTTGCAATCTCCAATTCTTAGAACGTAAGGCACATAGCACGATTGTTTCCCACAGCGGTGTGGTAAGGAAAATTTGTAGCGTGTTTTGACACTCTGTACGGATTTGCATGTGTGTGTGCGTGCCGGGGTTTTTGGTGTGTGTGGCTGCCGTATTTCCTGGCTGCCGTTTACTAAGCAGGAGGAGATGGCCATGTTTGTGCTCAGGACAGGGCTAGCTGGCAGACGTGCGAGTTAATGCAGCTAATCGATCCTGGCCACGGATAAACCTAACATCCGACATTTCTGTGTGCGGGCGTACATTTAAAGCCTACAGGCCTTTTCGAGTTGCGTTGCTTTTTGTGTAAATTTGTTTTTTTGTGTGAACTTGTTGGTGGGGATTGATCTATATCCCACGGTAGGAGGAGGGAGGGCGGCTGCGCAGGGCTGATGATAAAGAAAATGCCGCGAGCGTTTTCACACTCTACGCACAACATTCCCTGCTCAAATACATACATCGGAGCATATCTAATCCTGTGACGTACATGCCGCCGTACTAATTTCGCTACTGTACTGCTGTACTGTTCATCAATTTCTAACCTGACGCGTTATATGTGTCTGTATGCTTATTGAAGATGTGGCGGTCATGACAAAATTTTGGAACCGGGATCCTCTCACCCTAAGCCGCTCTCTGGCCACAATTTCTATGAAGGACCGGTTAAAAACGTTTTATACGCCGTTTTGATTGTTAATCCCCGGGACTCCAGCACGTCCCCCATATTAGGCCATGGCGCGCGTGTTGCGATGCAGCGTGCATAATCCCCATTTAACAACTTGTCCTAACAATCCCAACGCGGCATGTCATTGAGCGTCATGAGTTGACCGTCACACCCTACACGAGGCACCCAAGTGCGAGGTGCACCTACCACCGGCACTAGCAGCAGTAGCAGGCTGCAGGAGAGCCCGTGGTTGGTTAGGAGCAGCATCTAGCGTCAAAACAGATAGAGAAAACCAAGGGCCCGCAAGCAGGCGCAGATCAAGGCCTCACCTCCGCCAGCCACGCCAGCACATATCGGGCAGCAGCAGCAATTAATCACCAACGCCCTGAACAAAGCAATCCAAACTAGATTGATTGCTTGTCCCTCGCACCTGACAATTTTTAGGACACATATAGTGCCTCGCGATGTGCCGAGGTCTGGGGCTATATAGCCCCCGGGTGGTCTCTTCTGTGGTCACCCTCATAGTCACCACCACTACATCACCACAACAACGATTCCCATCACCACCCTTGACATCGCCACCACAGCGACTGCCACCCAGCACCATCACACCCTCGAGAGGCAACCTTTAAGTAACCTCAGCAAGCATTGGAAACGTAATCTGCTCATAGCTCCATCCCTGTTCTCTGTACAGACGCCTACACTGTCAATCGTGACGATGGCAATGGCGCATGGTGTGCTGAAGGAGCAGGAAGGAAAGGGCCAGAGAGTCCTACGTCCTGGACTCACGCGACCTCGCCTCGTTGCCCCCCACCCCAGGCCGGGCAAGCTGAGGGCTGCTCATGATGCCTGGGTGCAGACCATTAACATCGCAATGCGTCTCCCATGCGAGGGGCACGGGGCCCCCCAACGTTGAACCGGCCAATACCTGTGCAGTGCCGTCAGTAGGATGACCAACGGCAGCGCGGACTGGTTCGGTTCCGGAGCCATCCATCGCCGTTCACGCTTTGCGCCTTATCACCATAACGCTCAAGCCTAAGCCTAGCAGACAAATTATGCAGAACCGAAGCCACCGAATTGGGCGAGGGGCTGGGGAAAGGGGCTAGGGAAGGAAAGGGAATTGGGGCAGGTTGCGGGGAGGCCGCGCTTCCTCTAGCGGGGAAAGGGGACGAAAGGGCACCGCAGACCTCGGCCGGGAGTCTGTGTTGAGGTGGGCGGGTGTGCGCGCGTCATATCCTCCAACGCCAACCTTGACGCGGGTTGTGGGAGGGCCGAGGGTCAAGTGGGGGAAGGAGATGCTCCCGTCCGCGCCCTGATCAACTACGGGGCCACCGCTCGTTCCCCTCAGTCCTCCAGATGCAGCTTGCTGACCTCGTCGTACTCGGCCTGCCGGGGGGATGTTGAGGTGGGCCTTTGGGGGGCGTGGCGTGTAACCCCCCCGTGTGTACAGCATCCCTGACCACGTTTACATACACACACGCACAGATTGCACATAGACACACAGGCACGCACCTGCAGCTGCGCGATTTTGAGCCCCATGCTCCTCACGACGCGGTTGCGTTCTTCCTCAGGCAGCCCCTTCAGCAGCGCCTCCCAGCGGGACATACACGCCTCCACCGCCTTTCGAGCGGTACGTACACTTTCATTGAAGTACACCGTATCTGCTTCCTCCTTGGCAAACTCGATCTCATCACGGGCCTCAGCGAATAGCTCGTTCACAGCGTCCATCTATTGGGTGTCATAATCATGATGTGGAAGATGATGGCAATGGCTCAGGGTTTGGGGGGGAGCACGGCGGAAAAAAGATTTACTGTGTGGCGCTTGCCGGCAGGTAAATATGCACGCTTGACTTTGACGAGAATGGGAGAAACATGAATATGCTCTGGGGGAGGCCGGTACAAAAGGTTGGCTGCCGTTGGATGTCCTTGCGGCGAGGGCCAAAAGGTGGAGAGATTCACGGTGTGGTGTATTGTGGCACTACCCCTGACCTCTTTTTGCACATCCAAACTGCAGAAGCTCCGCAACCCAGGTCTGAACGGTGCGGCTGCTCGCGCAAGCGTCGCTGGATGGCATAAGAGCGAGGACCAAGCTGAGGCCGCGCCAGTTGCAGCTTGAGGCCCTAAGGGTAAACCTAAGCAGTGCGAGGTTAAGCGATATGCGCAAGCTGCAGTTCGGCGATACATACTTGCAAAGGAAAGCGTCTGAAATATGTGTTTTTAGGTAATCTTGAGCCAATTCATACAGGGAGCTTGAGCAGCAACATGATTTGCACAAAAACACCATGCGTAGTTGAATTCATTGTGTTTCCGCGCTGTCGGAAGCGGTAACTGTATTCGAAAACGGCAAACGGTCGATGAAATTAATGTTAGGGGGACAAGGGACAAAGACCTGCGTAATGACATATGTCGTTGACGCTTACAAATCTGTCTGTTTAGCTGTCTGTACACGCCAGCTATCTGTCGTCTGCTTAGCTCACGATTAAGAATGGTGCTTGGGAAACGGACCGACTACGGTGACGCCAAGTATGCGGGCGTCCAGGTTCCCTTTACCGAGGATTGCCCCGCGGCTGTAGAGGTAGGGATGGCTAATCACTTTATTCCTAATTCGTAAAAAGCTCGGCACCGCGCTGTCCGGTGTCGCGATCGCCGCCGCCATGGCCATAAACTGCTCGTTCCCACAGGCTTACGGGCTATGCGGCTTCGACTTTATCGTTGCACCCCTTGTGCGCGAAGGATGGCGTCCACCCGCACCTGCGGTGCCGCAGAACGGTTCCCTCCCGTCGCCTTTCAATCGGGATGACTGCCTTTACATCAACTCGTCTCAGTGGGCAAACCAGGCAAGTCATAACCCAGGTGGTGGCAGCGATGCCGCGTCACATCTGGTATCAATGATTAAGGAAGGGGTGATGACGCCATTCCACTTGGACATGGGACTTTCGCACCCTTCTCCCCTTCCCCCGCCCGAACCGCCTTCTCGACCCCCCTTCCCCTGATGCTGCCGCGGGTGACCAACGACAGGTGGTCGGCCGGGTGAGTGACTGGATCCAGCCTGACTCCCCGGATCCAGCTGTACGACAGCAAAGCGTGGCGGCGCTACAACACCAGCTGGGCTGGGCGGCGCACCTAGGACTGCAAGCGGTGGTGCTGCCGACCCCACACCGACCTGCGCAGTCCCCAAATTACGCACAGGTTCTTAATCAGGTACGACAGTACGACGGGCACCGACCCTGGCAGTGTGAAAATGTCTCCCCGTCTGGTCTGCTGCAGCACGCACCACTCGTGTGTCATGTAGGTGCGTGGGTACGTGTCCTCGGCCGCCACGTCACCAGCCCTCGGCCCCCTCTCCGCTATGGGGCTCGAGACCTTACATCTCCTCCCCCCCTTTCACACGCCCCTATGGCGCTCAACCCCGTATAATGATCCCCTCGCGGCAACCGCTTCCCCCCGACCTGTGCTGCGGTCGGCCCTCACCCCTCCGGTCCCACGTCCCCGGTCTGTTCGCACGTCCATAAGCCCGCCAGCCACCTGGCCATCATTCGTCTGCACCAATTTTGCGCCTGTCTGCCTCTGTCTGCTTCTGTCCGTCTGTCTGTCTGTCTGTCTCTGCCCCTGCCTGCAGGCCCTCCAAGGCCTGACCCACATGGCCTTGTGGCTCACTGTTCCGCTGGTGCTGCCCCACGAAGGGGGGGAGGAAGGGGAGGATGCGAAGGAGGGAACGGGTGCAAAACACCAGCAGACCCAAGAGCGGCAACAGCAGCAGCGGCAGACTCAGGAAGGAGTTACCCCGGGGCAGCGGCAGGGTCAGGGGCCGCAGCCTGGGGAGCGAAACGGTGTTCCGGAGCCAGCCTGGTCGGGGGCTGCTGGACCTGGAGCCGTGGACGGCTGGGAGGCCTGGCATCAGGTGGCGTGTGGGGGTGGGGTGGGTGGGTGAAGTGGGGTAGGAGGTGGATAGATGCTGCAGCAAGGAAGGGGAAACGGCGTTTAATTTTCACTCTGATTATTATTGGACGAGGGGTTGCTGGGGGCGGCTGGGGGCGGCTGACGGACATGGGGCATGGTGGGTGCGTGGGCGGGGTGGCGACCTAAGGGGCGAGGCGCCGGGGTGGGCGGGACCACCTCATCAACACCATCATCAACACTATTACCATGCAACATTTCCCACCACCAAACACGGCAATCATCGCCGCACTTAGCTCCTTAGGTGACGTCATCATTTTCCCCCTCACACCCGACCCCCGCATATCTTTCCCCGCGTACCCCCCTGGATTGGGCGGGCGGGCGGGCGGGGGAAATCGGTGTCTTCCCGCAGGTACGTGCCCAGTGCGACCACAATAACCTGCTGGGGGCCGCCCTGCTGGTGGGGCCTGTCCTGCCCTCCGCGCCCTCCCTGGAGCGGTGGCGGGGGGAGCCTGTGAAGGCCGTACTGCTGCCCACCAGCGTCTTCACCTCCAACAAGCGCGGCTATCCGGTCCTGCCCCGGCCGCATCAGGACCTCTTGGCGGGCTTTTTCAAACTGGGAGTGCAGGTGAGAGGCGGCCGGGGCGAGGAGGATGGTGGGGGGGGAAGGGCACTCGGTGTGTGTGTTTTCCTTCCTAGGGTGGGGGGATGGGAAGAGCCGGCGGCACCGACTCGTCTGCCAGCCATGATCACCTGCCACGTTGCCGCCAGCAAACTCATAACCACTCCCGCTATATCTATCTATATGGTTTGGTTTTATTTTATTTATACTATAAATTGTGTTGTATTGTATCTTCAGTTCCCCGCTTCCCCCCCCACCCACCCCTACCCCGAACCCCAGGTGGTG